TTCTTCATTTTTGTTATCATTTTGTGTGGCGACATCTGATAATTTCAATTGCCAATGTCTTGTCACTTTGTTGCGGACGAAGGAATCTCTCAAGTAAAGGATATTAACAACAGGTATCCGAGGGTGATGTTTAAGGTTGCAAGTTATGTTTGTTGCGCAGTCGTTTTGTTTATGAAGAGGAACTCTACATCGGGAAAACGAGTCTCTGGTGACGATTTCTTACTCTTCAAAACATGGAACACGATGAGAAATAGGATATTATTGGATATATCGGGGTAGAGAGAAAAAATGTATAAGGGTGAAAATACGCGCAAAAAAATGAAGGGTGGGGAGAAGATGTGTGTTAGGAAATGGGACGAGGGAAAGGGGTAGAGTAGGGGAGGGGGAGCAAAGGAAGTACTACTTTCTGTGCTTGTGTTTAACAAATCCGCCGAAACCACAGCACCGTATCGAACTATTGAATGAGACAGAGACAGAAAAGGGGGTGAAAGAGAGAAACATGTGGAAGGACAAACACTTCATGACGTCCATCGGGTTGTGTGGATAGTGTGTGCTTCTGTACTAGTTCCAGATCCCTCTTGGATCTTCTTCTTTCAAGACATCTGGAATCGACGTGTTGGCATACAAACAGTACACCGTTACTTTGCGCATAAAGGTAGCAAGCAAGAACGTTTTCTATTTTATTTTAATCGATTCTTTTCTCGTTATCTTTTCCTCCATTATTGGGGCCGAAATGGATCCCCCTCTTTTTTTTACGCGTCGGTGTCGATGTCGATGTCGATTTCGGCAGGTGGATGAAAAGTACCAAAGAAGGGTGTCAATATTTTTCGTTTGTTGGTTATCCACTGTTTTCCCACCTTCCTTTACGTCAGGAAAAAACCTTTGTTCATTTTGTGATGCTCTCTCTCTCTTTGTCATTTTTTTCGTTCTCACTTCTCATTAATAACAAACATCCCATCTCATTTTTTTCCTTTCATCTTCCTTGCTCTTCAGGGAAACCTGTCAAAATCATCACTAGAACAATGGCGATACCTACTCCCTACTCCACAAAGATGAATATCTCCTATCTCTGCCTCCAATCGCCCCACTGCCTTCAGCAGCGCCAGCAACACGGCGAAGAACACCACCGCTACGACAATGGTAATCAGGCCGCTCACAATAGGAGCGATTCATCGACTCCTTTTCAATTAAACCCACAACAGCCACCCGTTCATCATCCATCACACTTGCAAAAACAGAGTCAACAGACGAACGTGCACCATCAGCAGCAGCAGCAGCAGCAGCAGTACCAACAGCGGCGACAAAAGCACCGAGACTATCGCTCTGACAGTCGAGCAAGCGACAGATTCGCGACCACGACTCCTACCCCTTCGACCAGCAGCGATGACTGCAGCGACTCGGGGTCGATAGGCTGCTCATCTGTCGGTTCTGAATCTTTTGCTCGGTAAGCAAAGATCGCCTTCCTCTTTCGTGTGTGTGTGTGTGTGTGTGTGTGTGCGTGTGTGTAAGATTATCATCTCCTTCCCCAAAGATAACCTGACGATCAGCTTGACCAAACTGATGAGTCTATAATCAAAAGAAAAAAAAAAACAACCTCCCCATGCTCATGCGAAGCGACGATACCTTTTTTCAGATTTCCCCATCCCATTCCCTCATATCTTTCACTGATCGGCAATTTATATTCATGATAACATTTTAAAACTGATCAGATCAGGGTTCCTGCTCTTTTTAAACAGATTTAAGAATCTGGATCGGTTGGCCAAAAAGCGAACCGGATCAGTGGATAATGACACCGAGACAACCATTGAGTTCAGTCAGCTCTTCATCTCTCCTACCTCGTCTGCCGCCAACACTTCTCCTGCTACCTCTGCTCCCACTACTACCGTTACTACTGCTACCAGGACAGTTCTAGACTGTAACCAAAACGACATCCGTGATTATTATTACTACTACCCGCAAGGATGGACAGCCGCTTTAATAAGCTCAGGAGGGGGAGGAAGTGGAAGTGTGATGCCCTTTCCTCGAATCAACAACTCTGGTTACTATCACCCGTAAGTGCTAAGATTCTGTTCCCATCCGATTTGTTTACTTTTGTTATGGTTTTTCCCTGGTGTGTGTGTGTGAGTGTGTGTGAGTGTTGTTTTAGGCGATTCTGGTTTTGCTGATCTGATGGGAATTTAGTTCCTTTTTGAGAGATTTAGCGGCAAAGGGAAAGTGGACGAGAAGAAGGGAGAAGGAGGTGAGGAGGAGGGAGAGATAAAAATAAGAGCCGAGAGTACATAGTTGAGCCAGGGTCCAATTTTTTTCATGATTGTTTGTTTGTTTGTTTGTTTGTTTGTTTGTTTACTTTTTACCTTTTTATTGAATTGAATTGTTGTGTAAACAAATTTGGGAAGAGAAATAATCCCTCTACTTTCTCAAAGGATGGTAGAAAACGAGTGAAGATGAATGAGGTTGAGGGTGATGGAGTATGGTGAAAAGTGCAGACACAGCAGGGAGGGAAGGACGATGAACCTGGGGGGGAAAGAAAGAAGGAGGGGAGAGAGGAGGGGGGTGGCATTTTCCATGAACATGAGGGTTATCGGCAATGAGGTGAGCGGACACATGGATGGAAGGAAAGAGAGAGAGAGAGAGAGAGGGGGGGGGGGGGGGGGCAGACAATTCCGGTATTGTCAAAAATAAAAAAAGTGAGCCGCCCAAAAGAAAACAAATAAGAATGCCCCATATATTCTGAACACTGAGGACCAACCGATGGACCTGCTTTCTTGTATCCAAAAACAAGTGCACCTCCCCTTTTTTTCTTTGAAAAAGCAAAAAAAAAAAAATAATATGCTTGTTTTGTTGAGAATCGTGTATGTACCTTCTCGGACGTATTGCTCCTCTTTTTGTGTTCTATCGGGTGGTCCGAATCGTGTCGTATCGGCCCAGATTCATTCCATTCTTTCGCCCTTCATTCACTATTCAATGGTCGATTCATTCTTATTGAAATCTCAAAGGTTGCAGTTGCATGGAGGGAAGGCGAGGGAGAGGAGTTAGAGGGAGGAGAGAGATTTGATTGGCAATCGTACATGCAAGCTGCAAGTTCCTCTATCTTGTTTCTTGCATAGCCTCGCCCAACTCCTTTTATTTGTATGTCGATGTATTTGATTTTTGTGTCCGATTGGGAAAAAAGGACTACGAGAGGGAGATCGGGTGTCGTTTTGGAAAAAGGCAAAATGAGAGAAAGCAGTAGGGGGCTATTGGCAGGAAAAGAAGAGCAGAAAGGAAGGAGAGGAGCTCGGACGTAATGAGTGGTTTCTTTATTTTTTTCTTTTTAATTTTTGAGTGGGTAGATTGGAGACACGAGCGAGATTTGAGAGGTGAGGAGGGGGAGGAGGAGAAGGAGGAGGCGAATGAATTGGAAAGAGAGGAACTAAAAAGAAGGGGGAAGAAAAGGGGAAATGGGGGATAAGATTGAAAGTAGGCCCATGGTGAGAAATAATTGCGACAAACAGAGAGAAACTTCCATGTCAAAACAACAAGAACAGGACAAATCGACGATTTCTTTTCATCCCTCTCGTCTGTTTCTTTCCTGCTCCTTTCAATTGTTTTTTTTTCTCTTCGCGTCTTATGCGTGCTTGTCATTTGTTCTTGTTCGGTTTGCTATGAGTGCTGTTCCCATTGATTATTATTTTTTGTTTACCATTGTCATCCCTATCCGCAGCCTCTTCCGTTCATCCAGTTTGCATCTTTACTTGCACTGAGAGAAGAGAGACATGATGAGGTGATTGGGTTCTATATCTTTTTCTATGTATAGTTCCCAATTTTGCTTCATTAGTGACATGTCCCGCTATTTCGTCCACTGCCACCAGTTGAGCCTTTTTTTTTTTTTTTTTTTTTTTTGTTATCTCCTCATCCCTGTTTTCTTCAAGGTCCCTGGGTCTGCCTGTTTTCTTGCCCTTCATTCCTCATGTACCTTCTACCTCTTCGTTTGCCATTTCCTATCTATCTCGTTTTCTAAACGACTATGAGCTAACTTGTTTTTTTTGTTTATCCAATTGACTATTATCAATTGACCATCTCGGCATTTGCATATCGCATGAAACCGACCCATTGACCACCTTGCTTCCTGCTCAATTGATACATTCATCTCCTCTCCTCTCCTCTCCTGTCCTCTCCGCTTCTCCTCGATCCAATGCCTGATATTGCTCTTTTGTCAACTGCTTTCATTTTTGTTTTTGCGGGCGAGTGAGTGAGTGCGTGAGTGAGCGAGTGAGTGAGTGAGTGAGCAGGCGAGTTCCCCCCGGGCCTAGGTTTGAAGAAGAGGGAGAAGAAGAGGAAAAAGAAGTAGTCGCTTTCTTACATTTAAAATTATTGTTAATGAGAAGATGAGATCTAGAGTGGTCCGTTTAAAATATTCTCTGTAATCCTGTAATCGACTGAGTACAGCCAGCCTTTCATTTTTACGCACCCTGTCCCGATCTCACTCAATGGCACATCTTCACTCCACCCTACTCTATTCCCATTCTACTCTGGCTTTTTACTCCGTTGTCATAACCGTCTATCCCTACTAGCGCTTAATACTGTGTTTATTTTTCCCTCTCCTATCCTCCCCTCTTCGCACTCACTTTCGCCGCAACTCAATTCGCAGCTTCGTTCTCCTTTTTGTTGTTTTTCTCGACTGTTTTTTCCCTCATTCATCGCATTTTAATTCTTGCCGCTGGTTGCTTCACCTTCCTCTTCCTGACCTACCACCTCACACCCACTGCATCCCTCTCCTTCTGTTTCTCGCTATTTTCTTATTATTCGCCACCCATCTTCCCACTCCACCCGTCATCACGTTCATCACTAACCTTACTTAATCACCACCATCTAATACACATCTCACCTCTCTCTCCCTCTCTCTCTCTCTTTCCCTTCCTCTTTCCTTCGCTCGCTCATCACCCACTTTCCCTCCGTCACTCTCATCTCTATCTTCATGAGGTAGCATCATCCACTCTCTGCATTCGCCCTTCGTTCTAATGGATCCAAAACCCTACCCCCACCAGAGCGCCTTCCCACCAGACGCACAGCACCCAGATAGCGTCACCCTCCACCAGCGTCCCATTCCCCGAGGCCTGCCTGCTGCTGGCCCCGGCCACCACACCTACACCCACTCCCACCCCCATAACCAATCCCACAGCCAACACTACTACCCATCCTCGACTCCTCCTGTCACCAAGGACCCATCGTCCCTTCCTCCTTCCTCTTCGCCCTTCCACAATTCGCATCGTCAGCCGCAACAATCCCTCTGGCCACCCCACTCCCATCAACAACAGCAAGCATACCCCCCTTATCAACAAGAGCACTCACAACACTCGGACCACCGCCAATGGCATCGGGGACAGGATCATCAGGGCGGCCCCCATCCATCGACAGAGCAGCAGCACGATAGACGAATGGAAAAGGACGATAGCAACAGTAACAACGACAAGAGTAACATCAACGCCAACAGCAAAAACGACAACGACTATCCTCCTCATTCCCCTTCACCTACACGCCTTTCTGCGTCGTCTCCGTATTCGGCCATTGACGTCGATCCGCAGACTCAGCAACAAGGACAATCGGCAGATCCTCGTATCTCGTCTGTGTCTGGTCCAATGGGTGCCATTCCGTCGCCGATGCCGGTGGCTGGGTCTGGATCTGGTTCTGGACCTCCTCAGTCTTCCTCCTCCTCCCATGGCACAGTGTTTGATCGGAGTGGATATGTAGATGAAGCTATGCATGAGTTCGATCGACGCTCATACCCACCTCACCTTCCTCCCCACTCACCCTATCCTCATCCTCACCCTGTCCGCCATCCTCCACCTTTCCCTTATTCCCCCGCCTCGCCTACCTCCTTTTCCCACAGCGAGCGTGAGCGAGACTTTGACATGGACACCACCTCCTCTCTTTCATCAAGGGGACCCATGTCTAACCTGGCCTACCAGCACCGCCAATTGCAACAACAACAACAACAACAACAACAACAACAACAGCAGCAGCAACAGTACCACCAGGCCTCGCTTGACCGACACCACGGCGAGGGACAGTCGCCTCCAATCTCCCCTCCAGAAGATGAGGCATTTGGCAGCCGATCGACCCGATTTAGTTTTAGCTCCATCGATGGTAATAGTCGGCACACTCATCCCTCTCACAGCCATCGTCATCGCGAGAGCTCTCTGTCGTCGGCAAAAGCGGCAGTGGAAAGAGCATTTTCAATTGGAAATCGAGATCTAGACAGCCCCCATCCCTTGGCCGAAACTGCAGCCGCATCTTCTTCAATTACACAAACAACAGCAGCAACAACAACAGGCCAATTTGCGCCAGTTGCATCTGCAACAACTTCTATAACAACAACAACGATTAACAACAACCCCCTGGATGACCCCTTTCCCTCTTCCCGACTGCCCAATGCGCGGAGGGACTGGGACTATGACCTCGTCCCGCGAGCATCCGTTCGCCCTCTCGACAACCCAAGAGACTCCCATTCCTATGTTCGTGCGCACAACTACCAGCCCCTCCATGATGCCCACCGGAGACACTCTGCACAGCCACCAACTCACGCACACCCCTACCCCTCTGAGTACCCCTATGTCCCTCACCGCCCTCACCCCTTGAACCGTTCCGGTTCGTTCGACGAGGGTCACCCGGAGTATCATTATCCCCGTACGCATTGGAGCCCCTATGGACCCCAACCACCCTCACACTACCCCCCTCACCTTCCTCCTCCACCACCTTCTCACCTTTCCGCCTACTATGACGCCCCTCCTCCTCGACCACCTCCTCCCCCTCACGGCCCAGCGACATCATCTTCATCTCGTCGTTCTATCGACAACAACAGCAGCCGCCGCACTGGACAATACGGCGACGATGGGATGAGCAACTACGGCAGCTATGCCGAGGACGGAGAAGGAGAGACTGAAGGAGGAGAGCAAAAACGCAGAGGAGGGAACCAATCTTCGTCAAGGTTCAACAATCTCCGCTTCAAGTTTGGGACAGACATGCCAAGCACGATCGATCTCAAATCTGCGATTGAGAGCTGCGATATCTTGTGCCGATTTGCTCTCCATTATGGGAACCAGATCAAGAACAGCGACAGCACGAGCCACGAGACGGTCGAGGGGTCAGCGCTGGGCCTTGATCCCATCGAGCGGGCTAACTTGCAGAAGATCCGGAGTATGAACACTACCATGCTGATTGGGATCCAGAAGGAGGAGAGGGTGAATGACCCGTCATCTTCGTCTTTTGCTACTGCAGCAGCTGCTGCCGGTGGTGATCCCTCGGGCGAGATTCTTGACGCGGATCGGACGATGATGAAGGAGGAGGAGGAGATTGAGTTGGATGAGCTTGAAAGGGGCCACTTGAGGTTTGGGCCCGGTCAACCTTGGAATGTCATGGTTCTTGAGCTGGCCCGTGCAGCAACGTCGATTTTCCAGCTGGCGATTCGGATCAAGGCCTGGGTTAACATGACCCCTGCAGAGCGCGAGTTGGACGAGGAGATCAACATGATCCGAGGCAAGCGCTGTTTGCTCATGGACAGCACCCTTTCAGTCCCCACGGTGGACCAGCACGGCAACTTGCAAAAGGACTGGGCGGTTGTCCCTGCAGCGACGTCGACCTCCAAGAGTTTCTACCAGCGACAACGAGATCTGGAGCAGCAACGACAGACCCACACTACTGTGCTACCCAAGCAAACAAAGAACATCCAACAGGCACAGGCACAGTCAACAGCGGTCAAGCATGAGTTGGGGACATCTTTGGAGAGCAATGGCATGATGCTGGACCATGATGGAGCGTCAGAGACGAATGCTTTCAAGATCCCGAGACGGAACAGTAGCAATGGCGGCGTGAGCAGTACTGCTGCCAGTCGACTTGACTCCTTGAAGGGATCTAGCGGTCTAGTCAGTCTTGTTGGTGGCGGGGGCGCAGGAAACTCGGGATCGGCGATGAATTCTTCAATGTCGAGCTCGTTTACCAGCAACGACAGTAGGGCCACCAGCAGTATGAATGACGCAGCGAACGCATACCGGTCGACGGATGGAGCGACCCGCAACTCTAAGAACAGCGACGTCCCGCACCAAAAGTACCGGAAGCGTGCCAAGCGATCCCAGGCGCCTGGCCGTTGCCAGTCCTGTCATTCCTCGGATACTCCCGAGTGGCGGCGTGGGCCCGATGGTGCTCGCACCCTTTGCAACGCCTGTGGTCTTCGTAAGTATAACCTTTTTGTTTATTTCATCATGCTTTTTTTTGATGCATTTTGAGCAGTATGTTGACTAGTTCTTATTATTTTGGGTGGATGTAGATTACGCAAAATTGTTGAGACGTCAGAATGAACGGACCCAGCAGTCGCCGTCTCGGATCTCAACTGCCCTGCCTTCGTCGACCGCCAGCACAACTATTACCAACGGCAGCAACAACATCAGCGGCACAGCAACAACAACAACAACAGCCGCACCATCTACACCATCCACAACCTTGGCCCTCCCAACCCCTACACCTGTAGCTACACCAACACCCATTGCGCCATCAGTACCAACCGCAGCACCAGCAGAGACAGTCAGCGCAAGCATGTCCACAAGTCAACCTTCATCAAAAAAGGATACCAGCTTCCCCGTGATCTCGTTCCCTTTCAAGAGACTGCACGGTCAAGGACGCGCTAATGCGTCGTCTTCTTCGGCTACTTCGACTGCCACTGCAACTACTGCAACCTTGACCGCTACCGTCATGACAACTTCTGGGCCGGGTTTATTGACGCTCTCGTCGTCTTCTTCGATCTTGCCGTCAGGACGCAGGACGTTGACGGATCATCAGGTAGTGCCATTGTACGATGGGCAGAGCTCTGGGAGCGGCGGCGGCGCTGATGCTAGGGCTCCTGTTGGTGGTCGTGGTGGGTCGAGAGCGAACACGTCGCAATACCAGTTGCTTCATCGCCAACAGCAGCAGTACCAGCAGATGGAGTACCAGAAGCCGCAACCCAACCAGAACCAGAACCAGCAAGCGCACATGCGGGATGTGAACATGGACGAGTCCCCTCGTACCAAGTCCGAGCAATAAGCCTTCTACTTTTTCTTACTTTATAACAATTTCATCCGCACTCGCCACACATACGCGCACACACACACACACACTCACACACACTTACTCCAACTCTTCTTCCCTCACTTTTTTTTTGTCTTTTTCTTTTCTTTTCTTTTCTTTTCTTTTCTTTTTTTGCTTTTTGTATCCTCTCCTTTCTCGTTTTTGATGTACCATAATATTTGTCGTTTTTTTCTTCTTCCTCTATCTCTAACATTCATAATAAAATAACCAAAACCCCTCCCCTCCCCCTCATCATTATCATCCACTCAACTCATTTGCCAACAATTTTTTTTTTTTATATTGTCAGTTTGTGTGCTTGGAAGCAAGCGTTTTTATGAATGTTTTTGGTGGGTGAGTAGTGGGTGTTATGGTTACAAGTTTAAGTACAGATTGTGTTCAAACAAGGAAAAAAAAAGAGGCGATTAGACACGAAAACGAGAAGAAAAAGAAAGGGTGGAAAGAAAAAACGAAAGTATGGAAGAAAAGGAACGTTGACTAGGAAGGGTTGATTTTTTTTGGTATAGTTTTGGGTATTTACAAAGGGGCATTGAAGGAGGGGCCATTGAAGGAGGGTTAGGAAAAAGCGACAGACGGAGAAAGAAAAAAAGATGTGCGATAAGGACGGTATGAAAGAAAGCAAAGATAAATAAAGATAGAAGAAAGGAAAAAGAAAAACAAAGAAAGAAAGAACACCAACGGCCCTGATCAACGGAGCATCGCGACAGGGCGTGAATAGGAAAACGGAAACCGGGATCAGAACTGCTCCATGAGAGAGCGTCGCTGGATTTCGGCCTGCTGTTCGAACGCAATAAGCGCCGAGTAATCCTTGACGGTTGCATGGCACTCCAACGCGTTCACCAAGTCATCCATCTCCTGTTCCTGCTCGCGTTGCTCCCACTGCTGCTCCTGTGGATATTGCTGAGCGGAAAGGTGCCGGTAGTGCTGTGGAGGGACAGTTCCTGCCTGTATGGTAGCGCCTTCATGCTGACTGTGACCACGCTCGAGCCATTGAGCCTTCTCCTCAGAGCTGAGAGACTCCCAATGGATCATCTTTGCAATGAAAAGGTCGTCGGACCGTTGGGTCTGCGAAGCCAGTTCCTGGAACGCCTCCCGTTTGAGCTTCACCAACTCATCTTTCTGCTGCTGTTGTTGTTGCTGAGGATATGCGGTGTCGGGAGAGTAATCCAGACCAGTGGGTGGCGTGGACAAGGTAGACGATGTCGAGCAGACTGACGAGCTGAGCGAAGGAACCTGCTGCGAGGAAGAAGCCGACTCCAATCCAGATTCAGATCCAAAGACGAACGTTGCAGCAGACGCTGTTGATGTCGACCTGGCTCCAAACTTAAATCCCCCGTGATCAAATAATAGACCTTGTCCTGATACTGCAGTTGTAGTTGTTGCATGAAGGAACGACGAATGTGCCGCTGAGTTGCCTGGTCTTGTTACTGCAGCCGCGATAGTTGATAGGGGGAATCCAATATATCCGCCATTGTTGCAGTCGTATCCGGATCTGCCGACCCCGTCAATGTCAATCTCAACATCCTCGGTCTCATCCTCGTCTTCCTCATCCTCCTCATCCTCCTTCGTAGCAGCAACGACTGCTGTCGCTGATGCCGGCAGAACGCAAAGATGACTGATATTACTGCGAGAGACAGCGACGTCACGAGGAGTCGATTTGCAGATCGATCCGGATCCGATCTTTGTGTGCCGTAATGTGGCCATATCAGCGGTACGGGAGGGGTGAGAGAAGAGGTAAGGGCGTATCCTGAAGTCGTAGTGATTGTGGTGTGTTACGGTTGACAGGGTGATCGTTGCCTTTGGCCTCGTCGAGAGAGAGTTTGTCTAAGCGTAGAAGATGAGGAGGGGAAGGAGTAAGTGGAGATGAAGAGACGCGAACAGGAAATGGTTTAGGATACAAAAGAAGCGTGCGAACGTTTTTTCTTATACTCTGCAATCACAGAAAAACAAACAAATATCCTGCCTCTTGTCTTTTTCATTCCTTCTCACTCTCTTTCTCCTTTCTCTTGTCAACAATAATTAGCACTCTCTCCTCTTTCCGTTGCTACAACCATCAATTCCTCAAGATGCTGGTTGGTTGTCCGGGGTTGTACCTTTTGGAGGGTCAGTCTGTCGTGAGGACTGATGACGAGATGAGGACCAAAGAAGTTTGCAAGGCTGGGGGTTTCAACTGCAGAAGAACGAGCGATACGTTCTTTGAGACGCATGTATTGTGCGGGGACAGAGCTTTGTCTCCGTTGAGTGCGGTTGTGGAGGTTGTGTTTCCTGCTATGACTCCTTGAGGTGATTCCGTAGACGCCCATTGCTGTTGGTGAGCAGATGGAGAATTTGGTAGTTTGGCGTGAAGGAGTGAGCGAGGTTGCGAAAGAATAAACGGGTGAAATGAGCGAGAAGAGGAGCGAAAGAAAGAGAGGGAGAGGGAAAGAGAGGGAAGAAGGGCGCTGAAGAGATGAGTCAAAGCAAGGAATGGGGGCTGTGTGAGAAGAACGAAGGGGAGAGAGGAAGAAGGAAAGAAGAAATGCGAGTCAAGGACAAAGATAAAAATACTCATCTTGTCTGCGGCAAAACAGTGTGACTTTTGGACGAGAGCACGAAGTGAGGAAAGAGAGGTGTCTGGTTGGCCTATGGCATCCGCCCAATTAGACCACCTGCGGGGAAACGGAAGAGAGAATGAGAGCTAGGGAAGGGAAGGAAAGAAAGTCAACAGACGACGTAACGAACCCCCCCACTCTTGCACCTTGTCATCATTATTGGCAAAAGCAATAATACAAAGATAAGCTCTTAGCACCGAGCCATCCACCCAAGGGTAAAAGGAGGATCATCTATGCAGACCACCATCATCATACAAACGCGCGCACAACTCATCGAAATCACGACGGGTGCTCAACAGGTTCCTCTCTCCCATGACCATCCTTGTTTCGACTGCGTCCTTTACAGTTCCATGTTGCCTTCAATTGGGTCCCTTATTCACTATCCAAGACATACTTTGTTCTGCATAATCCATGACTTTCGATACTTGTTCTCTCGGCTTTTGGTTCAAAGCAGGGGCTGTCGATCCCTAGGATTCTACGTGTCAAATCGCCCTATTTGTCACATAGCTTGGATCATATCGTCCGAGGTATATGTTACCTCCAACAAGTCTGGTTGTATCAAACAAGCGATTGATCCACGAGCATGAACATGAGTTAAGATGCGAACATTCAAGAAATGAACTAATGTGTTTACTTTTCTATGCAAATAATGTGAAAAAATGACGGACGTTTCCTCTAATTGAAAAAAAAAACAAAGACCTCCTCCTACTCCACCTGAACCTCTTCCCTGCGATGATACTCCTCCTTTCCCTGCTCCTGAAACAAACAACCAGCTGGTTTACTTGCCGAGCTTCTTGCGCAAGGCTCTGGTTCTCTTACGGAGCTTCTTGTACTTGTGCTTTCTCATCTTGATCTTCCTCTTGCGCAACACACTGGTCATATGCATGACATTGGTATCGTCCGACTCGTCCATAATGCTCTGAATAGGTGTCGTTGGTGCCTGTCCTTCAATGGTCGACATGATCATCGCCTTGTTCTCGATCTGGCGGAAAAAGTCCTGAACGATTTTTTCCGAGTCCATATGGTTGTAGGCTGAGGGTGTTGATGGGGGGTTATAAGGGCGGAGAGTCGAGAAGTAGTTCGTCATATCCTCAACCGCATCTACTTTGGAGGAAATAGGCAATAGTTCAGTAGGTTAGAAAAGCTGAAAGAAAGCAAGCCATCGAAAGTGCAACTATGGCAAGCAGGCAGTTGACAGTGTACAACTTGAAGCAAGCAGTTGATAGCAATTGAAAGGGCAGTTAAAAGGGCAAATAAAAGGGCAAGTAGAGGATCAATTGGTCCCGGAATGCTGGATCAATTGCTCAGATAATTCTGCGTTTCTGCACGCAACCATCAAAAAAACCTGATCAGATCAGATTCCGAGAAACAAAGAAAGCAACAACACCAAAAAAAAAAAAAAAAAGATCCCTATAAAGACTTGCCTTCGTGTCCCTGTTGTGCAACGACAGCCTCCACAGACTTGCTGGTGAGTCCGAGCAAAGGGCGGTGGATGGCAAAGAATGAGCCGTGAGCAAGATCGATCCTGTCCATGGACGAGGCCTGAATGGGTCTCTCTCCCGACGTGACCAGCGATGCAAAGTCCAGAGGTATTATGTCTGAGGAAGAAGAAGGGGAAGAAGAAGAAGACTGGTGGCGACGGGCGACCATGGCGATGGTTGAGGAAGCAGCAGGGCGGATGGCCTTGGCCATTGTGGAGGCGGCCATGACGCCGGAAGCTGATCTCTTCCAGGCGTTGTTGAGGGTGGCAAGCATTCTTGGTTGTCTGGTCGTGTTCCTGAACAGAATGATGAGGGAAGTGAGGGTGATCCGAGGTTGATGCACCACCGAAACGGATTAAAAAGAAGACAAGGGGAAAAGAAAAGCTTGAACTCCGGAAGGAACAAAAGAAAGTCAAAGGCCTTTGAGTGACGGAGGAAAGGGACACAGGGACCGTGGACGATTGAAGGCGACTGTAAACAGAGAGGGGGAAGTCAGCTAGGATTATGGCAAGGAAGTAACACCGCCACCGCTTTTCTTTGTCTGGAAGTAGTGGGCGGAGATGTTACGTCATCCTTGTGAGGAAGCGATATCACGTGATTTCTGTAGTGCCGCTGCAACAGCGACGAGCAAACAAACCCGCTTGAAAACAGCCGCGGACCCGCGGACTGGTCATTCAAGCAAGCAAACAAGAAGAGTGTGTGCCCGTGCAAATTGCATGCAAAAGAAATTGGACGGCGAGCGTGCAACTGCATCTCGAGAAGAAAAAGAATCAACCTCTCACCTTTTTGTGTGTGTTCTTTGTGCCTTCATCCTCACCAACAAAATACCAGTAATACCGAACAGAAGTCCTCCTCTTCCTTCTTCCCTCCACTTCCTTTGCTCTTGCTACGCAACAGTCAGAAAAAGCACAACTTCCATCCATACGGCCCTCATCCGACAAACACTCAGCAAACAGGCAAGTGCAAGTAGCCTATTTACGTTTTGAAGGAAAGAAAAAGTAAGAAAGAGCGGCTGACCAGTCAGAAGCTAGGCTCACTCTGGCTGTATTCAACCTGAAAAGTCGATGCATCCATGACCCTGGAAAACACCATCTGGCTCATCACAATCAACAATAGACCATCTGTGGTTGTGGCCGTAGCAGTATGGCCTATTGTTGATGCATCTTGCCTGGTACTTCATCGCATCGCTAACTTGTGCTTCTCTTTCCTTTGATTTTTCATGGGGGTGTATGTGTATGAAAATAACACTACAGGCTGCTCTTCCCTGTCATTGGTCAGATTCGCCCATATCACATTTGACTGCTCTCACACCAGCCATCTCTCTTCAAGCAAGTCAAGTCGGTCACTCGTCTAACCACATACATACACAGTGGAAACACTCATACAAGTGCATACCTACTCGCCATCACAACCCAGCCAGAAAGGAGCAACAACCATCCTCATCCTTATCCTCCTCTTCTCCTTCCGTCATCGCTCCTATTCTTGTTGAAAAAAAATCAACAACACCACCGCCAACTTCAAGTGTCAAAGTGAGCCGTCTACCGTCCTTATTTTAACTTCTCGATAGCAAATACCAGTTGTCCCACACCTCCGCCCTCCCTTCTCCCAAGCGCACTTCGCTTCCCCTCTGCAGCAGTGCACATACTCACCTCCACGCTGCTTTCGGCCGTGCCTCCGTATACAATGACAAACTCAACAGTCGCCGTGGGAAGAAGGCCGACAGACTGGAACAACTTTTACAAAAACGGCCTGCCCAAGGAGATCATTGTCATCGACGACGACACCCCTCCTCCGCCTTCTCTCTCGTCCTCGTCTACTTCTACCTCGTCCTCGGCTTCAGCCCAACATCCACCAGCCAATGGATCCTCACAGCGCTATCATGTCATCCAGCCCCAGATGCATCCTGCCTATGTCCACTCAGCCATGCCTACATCTCAGGCCGGCGCAGGATCAATACAGGCAACCACATCCCGAGTGACAAGGAGGACCAACAAGAGACAGCCTTCGAGTGATCTGATCTCCTCTGGAAGCAACGGCGGACAGTCAATCATCTCCAATGTACATTACGCATACCCTAACCAATATTCAAACGGACAACAACAGCGCAACGACCCGCACTCTGGACCCATCTATGGCAACCACAACCAGCCAACGCAATTGCCACATGCTGGACCATCCACCAACGCCGCCGCTATCCCACCAGCCAAGAAGAAGAGGCGATCGAACGCGGAGATCAAGCAAGCGCAACAACAGCAGGGTGGTCAGGAAAACCACCCCCTCTACTATCTCCCAGCACCTGTCAACCTCGCCAACCCACCGCCAGCGAATCGTGATGTAAGTCAGCAGTCCAGGGTCAATTGAACAATGGAACGAACAGCAGTGCATTACAGGAGCAAATGATATTAACACCATCAACAATTATTGTTATGGCGTGAATAGGCCCCCATCAACATACCCCCTTGGGACGACAAGGAAGGTCACTACATTGTTACCCCGGACGACGATTTCACATCACGATGTAAGGCGACCAGGATGTCATAATATGCGCTATGAATAACGTCTCGCTTCACTGGAGGATTTAGCATGGACCAAAGCGACATTGCCAGCTGATACCCTCTATTTATTTCGATTTTCCAATAGACAAAATTATTCGACTACTGGGACAGGGGACATTTGGAAAGGTTGTGGAGTGCTTTGACCGAGAGAGCGGGAGGTATTGCGCCATCAAGATCATCCGGGCTGTTCAAAAGTACCGCGATGCAAGCAAGATAGAGGCACGCGTCCTGACCACTCTCAAAAAGAACGATCCACGGAACTCCTAGTAAGTTGTCTTCTTCGCTTCTCTTTTTAGCGTGGCCGTGACTGAGTTAGAATGTATTATGGCATACTTACGCGTCGATTTCTGTTTTAAATTAATAGCAAATGCCTTCACTTGAACGACTGCTTCGACTACCGGAATCACGTCTGTATGGTGTTTGATCTCCTGGGACAATCGATATACGACTGGCTCAAGGACAACTCGTTCTGCCCATTTCCACCCAACCAAGTCCAGTATTTTGCCCGGCAGCTCCTTACAAGTGTCGCATGTATGACCCTTGGTCGCTGTTTTTGCCGTTTGGGAAAGAATGTTAGTATCGGGAAAAGTAGATATATGGTTCCTAACCCCGTTTGTAACTTTCTTCTTCAATAGTCTTGCACCGGTTGAGGCTGATTCACACGGATTTGAAACCGGAAAACATCTTGCTGGCGAACGGTGCATATCGTCAAGTGCCATACAAAGTAACAATCAGCAATTCATGGACTGCGTGAATCGCTCCCGTTCAATTGTTTTGCAATAGTATTAACTAAAATTATCGTTCGCTTCCATGAAATGCCGCTAGAAAACACCAACAAAGATGCGAAGGATATTAATGGACCCAGAGATTCGCCTGATTGACTTTGGCAGCGCAACCTTCCAGGATGAACACCACTCTACAGTTGTCAGCACACGCCACTACCGGGCACCCGAGATCATTCTGGGTAAGAATGAATGGACATCTTGCACGGAAGAACACTCTGGAATTTCGTCCGCGCCATCAAACTCGTTACGGAACTCAGAAATGCATCTATTAACTGCAGAATTGTTATATTTTCGTGTTTCTGTGAATTATTAGGTCTTGGATGGTCATACCCATGCGATATCTGGTCGATTGGATGTATCCTTGTGGAATTCTTGACAGGCGAGGCCCTTTTCCAAACGCACGACAACTTGGAACACTTGGCCATGATGCAGGCCGTCCTTGGACCCATCCCCGATAAACTCATCCGCTCCACACAGTACGTTTCCAGGCTTGTCTTTTCATTTGTGATTCCTTGTTGCCTTTTCAGGTGCCATGGAAGAGCGTGATATGTGTACTGATGCTAACATGGTATTTGCACTTGATCGTGATAATAGTAAATCGGCGCAAAAGTTCTTTCTGCACGGACGACTGGATTACCCTAATGACGAGACGAAACGCAACAGCCGGAAATATGTCAAAGCGCTGAAGCCTCTCAAGGTATGCTCATTTTGTCTTCTTCCAATAAGAACTTTTCTGTCAACACGTCATGTCATGTCCGATAGTCCAATACTCATCATCTGTTTGTTCTTTCCCTTCTACTGTACAATAGGACTATGTGGTACCAGCAGGGAACAGAGTGGAGAACCTGCAGTTCGCGGCAGAGTTGAAGGACCTTCTGAGTCTGCTGTTGACATACGACCCTGAGAAACGGATCACGGCTGCTCAAGCGTTGAAGCATCCTTATTTCAGCTACATTGTTGATGAAAGCGGACAGATCACGGGCAAAAAGGCGTCAGAACCCTTCCATCCCCCACGATAACGTATTTAATTTTCATTTTTTTTTTCCCCCGTCGTTTTGTTCACCATCTTACTCGCTTTTCCCCATCCTTTTTCTTACCCTCACTCATTTTTCATAACAAACGATTCGTCCAACAAAAAGAAAAAACGTTGACAAGAAAAGAATAGCACAGCCCCATCCATCATCACCCTTTATTTTCACTGGATCTCACTCCTTACTTTGTACTTTACACAAAAGAACAACCGCCATGACGTTTTCTATAACCTTTTTCTACTTTATTTTTTTTCCTTCTACATTTTTCGTCTTTCTCGCTCACAGTGTACATTAATACAAACCCTCACACACCATGTTTCGTGTGGTTCGACATGTTCATTTTGTTTGTTTATTCGTGAAATTGGTGTCAAGCGGGAAGCAAGGGGGAAAAAAGGAGGGGGAGGGGGTATCGTTTTGGTTTTGATGTAGGGCAAAGAAGGACGGAAAGAGTAAAGCATGTGTGTTTCATGTTTCATATGTTTTAGACCTTGCTAAAGAAGGTACGACGGCGTTCAGCGCGGACATTACGGGTGCGTTGGATGATGGCGATATCGCGTTCGCAGTAGGCCTTGTTCTCAAAGTTGTAGTAGACATCTGCCAATGGGGTCCGGCATTCTGCACACGAGAAGCAGGTCGGGTGGTATCTCCATCCCTATTATATCAAAGGAATCAAAAGAAAAAAAAGAAGCTTGGTTAGAAAACAAAAACTAGAAAACAACACCACTGCAAGAAAAAAGAAGGGGAAAAAAAAAAGAAGGTCGTGTACAAGTATTTTACCTCGACGGTTTGGGCACAGGCGCCTTCGATGGGTTCATCACAAGTCTTGCAAAGCGACTTGTTCATCTTATGGTAATGGCGTCGACAATAAGGAGCATCTCCAAAGACGTAAAAGGACTTGTCGGGGAAGGGGCGTTGGCAGGTATGGCATCCGAAACAGGCTGTATGCCATTTACCCTCCAGTTTGCCGTCCTGCGCACTGACAGCTTCCTTCTCGACGGGCTTGTTGCACCCACGACATTTGGGCAGGAAGAGGTCTGCAAAGTCGGCGGAACAATAGACACGACCGTTCTTCTCAACGTGACCGGGTTGACCACTGCCGTTGGAGGGTTGGACGATGGGTTTGCGGCAGTGGTAGCACTGCAGGTGGTGATCATGCCAAGTCTGTCCCAAAGCATACACGGTGGTCTCATCCGAGTGGATAGACCCATCACACCCCGCACAAGTAGGAAGCCGCCGCCGCTGAATCCTCAACTTCTCCTTCTCCTTCTCCCTCTCGACCATCCGGGAGTAGTCCTTATCACAGTAAAGGCGGCCTTCGAATTCACGCGCATGACGAGCAGAGTTGAGGGTATTCCTGCATCGAGTACATTTGAAGCACTCGGCATGGAAGTCGCCTACACGGTCCATCTTGATGGATCGATCGGATTCCGAGGAATGGATTTCGTATTGGCATCCTTGGCAGGGGTGGCTTCCTCCACCGATTCTCTCGGACTGAGAAGGAATAGGTGTAGCATTAGAAGAAGACGATGGGTGTGCTGATCGACTACGAGAGCTCAAAGCTGATGACGAACGGGTCTTATCACGGTCCCGAATGCTCTCACGGTCGCGGTTGCTATCGCTCCTCTCACGGCGAGGTCGAGGACTACCACTGCCATTCTCCCGCGCAGACAGCGCAGGCCGCTCACTCCTCTCACGCTCCAGTCTCCGCTGCTGACTCCGCGTGGAAGCAGTGCTCGGACTATCCGATCTAGGACCACCCATGATCATGTCACTGTTATTATTACTGTTGTTGCTGGACGGCAAGGTAGGCAATCGAGGTATGGGAGGTGCAACGGAATGCTCGTCCATCAGCATAAGGTTCCGACCGCCGTTCTCGGGAGCCAATGACCGAGATCGCGAACGACGGGTCGAGTCGCGGGTAGAGTTGCGAGTCGAGTTACGTAGAGAAGGAGAGGACGTTTTTGGTAGGGTGTCGATCTGTTGGAGGAGATCTTCCATCAGGGCATCGAATTGGTCTGATCCTCCGGTCCCTTTGCGGGTACTTGGCTGAGCAATCGATGGTCTTCTCCCTATGATATTGTTGAAAATGTAATGAAACCATGAGTTAGTAAGTGGATTTCGAATTGGAGGCATCAAAGCGACAAAAAAAAATCCTATCAACTTACCACGAGTAGGAATGGGAGATGCAATCTCGGGAGGGGTAGGTGGGCGGTAGGCAGAACCCTTGGTAGGGACCACAGTAGCGAGATTGTCACCGTCATCGCCTCTGAGAGAGACTGGAGGTGAGGGTGTCTTATAAGCCGACGCAGCGTCCTGGAGACGACGGGACCTTCCTTCAGATCGTGACGAGGAAGGAGTCAGTGGTTGCTCCTTCTCTCGTTCGCGTGCACGTTCACGCTCAGACCGTCCATATCGGTCGCTAGCAGTAGTAGTGGTGTTGCTCTCCAGGGCTCTCGATCGAATCGGCTCAGAGCGCAGTGTAATCTCCGACTGCTCAGAGAGCATAGTGTTCGATCTGCCCCTATTGGCTTTCCGCTCTCTCACAGCTGAAGCAACAGAAGCGCTAGAACCAGAGCGGACAGGCATAGGGGCCGCGGGTGTTGGAATCTGATGACTATACTGAGCTCCATACTCCGGGATAGGTGGTGCCGAGCGGTTCGCTCTCTCCCTGATCCTGTCGCGTTCACGATCCCGACTGATGACATCTGAAGATGCAGAAAGTGACTGGTCAGTGTTGTTGCTGAGAGAACTCTTGCTCCGTCTGTTGTAGTCATATCCTTGGTTTCCTTGCCCTCCAATTGCATGGACAGAGGCCATGGAAGGAGTACGTGCCCTTGACTTTTGAGGCACGGCTGGTTGGTTATACAGTGAGGTCCTGGAAGGGAATGAGGAGTTGGGCAACGAGTACGAAGTTGAAGACGCCGTAGATTCGGTGGGTGTATTGGCGCGAGGAGCGGCATAGGACCGAACAACAGACTGACTCTGTCGGTTCTGTGGCTGGTGGGCAGATGTAGCCGTGGCAGCTGCAAAGGCTGCAGCAACAGCGAATCGATCCTCTGCTGGTACCTTTGGCGTGAAATAATCGTTCTGCTCCCTCTGGTAGTGGCTAGAACTCCTCGGCAGTTGCTGTCCCTGTTGTTGATATTGATGGGCCCCATAAGAAGCAGACGCCTGATCCTGACGATCCGAGTTGGACTGAGGAAGAGGAAGAGGGGCAGGTGGGGAGGAGGTCTTGGTCATCTTCGCGTACTTTTCCAGAAAAGGGAGGGAGGGGCGAGGAGAGGGGGACATTAATCCTCCGGAAGTGGTATTACCGGATGACAAGGGACTGGCGCTGAAACCGTTTGAGATGCTGGTGTTTATGGGGATAGGGGGCGGCTTGTGTCCGGGTCTGTAGGCGCCAGCATTTTTGCCTACCACAGGTGAAAAATCTATACAAAAGAGCATACAAATGGTCGGATTTGAGCGGTTAGGTTGCTTTGCAAGGGGAAAGTAGGTTTGAATGATACGAAAATAAACAGGGAGCTGGAAAACTGACACAGAGGACACAGAGGGAAAAAAGGGTCGAGGGGTTCCTGAACTCACGACATTTTGTGCTCTTTGCATGCTTACCTTGGCGGTCTGTGAGATGGTACATAACATAATTTGTCGGTATAGTTCGTGGTCAAACCCCGGAGGTAGAGTCAGGTAAATGAAAATTGAAGGGGGTTGAAGTGAGTGGGACGTGAAGGGAAGAAAGGAGCCAAGGCAGACAAAAATGATCCGAAGAGAAAGGATGGAATGGGCGTGTGGATACAAATAAACAAGGGATCGTCGATGTGTTTGAGATTGTGGCGGCAAAAAAAAAGAAAGGGTCAGATAAAGTTGAATGTGAGAGGTATGTTCATGTACGGAAGACGGGGAGGACGAAGATCAAGAGGCAAGATGGTTTCCACGCGTGTGTAGAGCATAAAATAGATGGACAATGCAGAACAGAAGGGATAGATGCAACGTGAAGCGTGTGAACAATTTGAAGGAGGTGAGCAAAAGAGAAGAGCGAGAGCAGAAGGTTACAAAAGACGAAAGGAAGAGGACGAACGAAGATGGGCGATGGAAGGATTGTTAGGAGTAGGGGTGGTGATTGAGCAAACAGAAAAGAAAAAACCGAGATGGTTAGTTGTCATTGACCTACACACGTTATTGTCGGGTTGGAGGGGGGGCATTTGGCAATGGGTAGGTGACCCTTGAAAAGAAATGAGGAATGACCACTGAACCCACAGTCCCTCTGGCAATAGCAAACATTCCATTTCGCGGATCTTCCTTTATGGCTGCAGCCCGCAAGCACGTTCACGCCCTCTTCTAATTCAGTGTCATCCATGGTTCCTTACACTAGCATGTTGCTCATTAAGTGACTAATGGTCTAGTGTGGTGTATTATGAGAGTCCTTATTGGATGTTCCATGGGTTCAGGTCGGGTGTTCAAATCTCCGCCTTAGCCCATTGCGCTTCATTCACTCTTATTTCCGGGCGTAGAGTGGGTGGTATTTGTTGAGTGGCATTGGTTAGACCTTGTCGATGCACCAAAGAAATGCTCACGTTCTCAATTGCTTGGGTGTCCGTCGTGTTTCTTCTCGAGTGCTCTGTCGCCGTGTGGGTCACATTCCCTCCCTTCTCACAGAGATACGCCCATCCCACGTTGCATTGAAATAATGGTTCCTGAGAATTATTTTTGTCCACGCTAATTATGTACTTTCATCATCCATGTAGTCGCGTGTCCGTACTTTTGTATGAGACAAAATAATAGCGAATCCTGTAGTGTGTGCTTGTCATGGTAATAATAATAACAGCTACTTACGTTTGATGGAAAGCGGCTGTACAGGCATGGCAGGTGTGCCTCGACAGACGTGTTCGCCCAACTGGCGGAATACGACATCATCCCCACAGTCGGAGCATCGAATGACTGGTATAATCTGAGAGAGGCGGGGATCCTTCACGCTCATTTAGATGTTGAAGAATGAGTGGAATGAGGCGTGCTGTGATGAGTAGGCGGGTTGGTGAATGAGGCGTGTTTTGAATGTAAGGAGAAGAGGGGGTCAAGAGGCTGGTTGCAGTGAAAGGGAATGGACCGTGTCAAGGAGGGAGGTGTAGTAAGAGTGAGAAGGTCGTGAAAGCGGTTATTGTCGCCAGGTAGGGTATAAAAGAAGATGTCTTTGTTGTCTATGTGCAATTGGCGATGAAGGAGGACGTGAATAAAAGAAAAGAGAAAAGAGAAAGGCGTGAGGAGGAAAAGAAAGGGTGAAGGAAGGAAGGACGTGTGGATGAAGGATTGTCGTGAAAGAGGGTGAATAGGAACAACAAAGGAGCCGTGTCAGGCCTGAAGTAAAAAAGGGAAATGAAGGGCAGACGGGCAGAAAATACAATGAAAAGGAGAATTGAGACTGCGTGGAACGAAGGGTGAAGTGAAGGGAGGGGAGGGTGAAAAAGAGTAAGAGAACAGGAGGAAGAAGAAGGGTAAGAAGAGAAGAAAAGAAAAGGCGTAGATGTGAATGATGAATTAAAGGAAGAGAGTGTGAGAGGCGGCAATGAGTGAGGTGGGTAGAGGATGTGAACGGACAAAGAACCAAGGCAAGATGAACTACTATACAATGGACGATAGGGTCGAGTGGACAATGAATGGTTCGATGATGTCTCAATGGCTTACACATACATAATGCTTCCCCTTTTTTCTCTCCACCCGGCAAGGAACATAACATATGTGGTGCATGTACGCACAAAAAGAAGACATCCAAGGGTTGTTCTCAAATAAAGACAGAAGAACCAGGTGGCCTATTGAATTCAATAAACTATCGACTCAGTACAGGTGAGCCCTCGTTTCCATTTGTCTCTCCCTCTCTCTCTCTCTCTCTCTCTCTCTCTCAACCCTGCCCTGCTCACACACGCTCATACACATCGACCATCCTTCTCTCGTTCTGTCCTCATCCCTTCCTCGCTTCCTCGGGCGGACCAAACAGACAGATAGGGCTAGATGATTTCTAAGTGATAAGCAAGCAAACCAACACCCAAGCGTCCACCCTTTCCCTTCCTCCCTTTCTTCTTTCGAAGGCATGAGAGCCCTCCTTGTGTATTTTGTGTTTTGTTTTGTTTCTGCCTTTGGATGTGTCCTATTGACAAACCTGATTGAACTCTGTCTTAAAGACGAGTTACTAAAGCCTTGCATGTGTCTAAATGAGGAGGTTTGGGTAAACAAGGGTCCTCATAAACTTGTCTTTCCACACACTCTCTTCCTCTACCCACCTTTATGGTTCTGTGGGCGCTCTAAGGATGTACCTTCTGTGCGGCTGTATCCGATATCTCTGCAAGGGTACCTCTATAAAGACTAGCCGTCCGCAAAAACTCTTATGAATGGCATATCATAAGCATGTGGCGGCTAAGTCCTCCTGCTAGACTCTAAAAAAGGGGTTTAGTCTCTATTTGACGCCTCAGAGGAATCGGGGGCCAAAGATGACTCAAAAGGACGTAAGTAATAAATGGGGCGCCAGCCTCCAGGCATTCGGGGGAAAGGCATGCAGGGGGTCGTCGCACCTGGTCTTTGCCCTGAGCGTGAACTGTGATGCAGGAGGCCATTTAGGGATCCATGCCTTACTGGACGACAATGAAACGAGAAGAGCACCGTATCCTTAAGCCACCCTTTTTTTATAACTCGGCCCATCTAGGGGGCGCAAAGGTACATCGACATGGTACTAGCTCCATGCCATCGCTGAACCACATCCATTCAAAATCTGCCTCCTGACAAAGGGACCATTTTTTAGACACTGCACTGGTTGATCGTAAAGTGCTACCATCTCCACAATTGACAGTAGAGGTAAAGAGGACAGGTAACAGTAATACTAAAAGGCGGGGGTCAGGGGAGAGGGAGAAAAGGAGAAGTAAAATGGTATAGGGGTATCCATTTGGTGCAACCATAACAGCCACAAAAACAACAGACAGCAACGACTCTTGTTCTCCTATGTTGTGATTTCTGCAAAAGAGCTCTCTTGTTTATCCCCCTCTTCTACCTACAATGAGGAAGTGGCAACGAGTAAACATAAACAAGAGGGGAGAACTAAAACAACCAACGGGCAAAATGACAAACAAAGATGCAAGTCATGTCATGGATATGAAAAAATGAACGGCCGAGGCTGCATGGGCGACGATGTTCAATTGGGAACATGCGGGGAGAGAAAGAGGGGAGGATAGTGGTCCAAGTCACCCACACCCCACACGATGCCAATTGCTCACCATTGGCCCCCTCTTTATTGTTGTTACTTTCAGTGGATGAATAATATAATCTCCAGGATTATCGACATGTGTCGCCCCTTCCACCCAAAATGCATAAGCACAATTAAAGTAATGGGCAAGTGGATGTGTCTACAAAACACTTTGGCTTGTGGAGCGAACCTGCTTGACAACAGACAGAAAAAAAAGGTTCGACGCTCACTTTTTTTTCTTTCTCCTCTTTTCTTTCGATCCGCATTGACATGCGCCGTTCATAAGTCGTGTGGGTGTGTAAACTAGGTTCAAGCGACGCAAAAAAAAAAATCAGCTCACAAGCCGAATCAAAAGAAGCATCCAGTTTTTAGTCCGCATTCCTTTCTTTTTTTTATTCTCTGAGCCCCATGGTGGAACCGCAAGGAGAGAAAGGCGTTGAGTTGATCAAGAGGGCATAGGAATGGAATATTCTCCATTCCGTTCTTTCTTCCTTCTCTTTGAAAAGTCTGTGTACCCTTGTCAAGGAGGAGGGGGAGCGTGTCGTGCATTGGGGACAAAAAAAAGTCGAGGTGAAGAGGTTTTAGAAAATGTTTGCCACCAATTTTTGTCAATGCGTTTGTTTCATTCAATTGTCTCCTGGCAAGCTGATTTTTTTTGCTAGGGTATGATTGCTGCCTGTTGTTGGTTTGTCGTGCTATTGTTGCTACTGTTACCACTGTTTGTTGCTGTCATGGCCGCGAGTACTGTTTGTTGGTGGTGAAAAGCGGCGGTTAATGGTTGAAAGGGGGACATGCCCACTTGCGACGCCAAACCGACTCTTGCCTGCTCACATCAGATCCTCGACACAAAGACTATTTCCTCTCCCGGCTTCTCCTTCATCGACCAGCGCTCCCACATCCAGTCATGCTCCTGCTGCCCAAACCTGTCCTCGTCAATCTTGATTCATAGAACCTAGTTCATCCATGACCCCATTTATCCGGACAGCGAAAACGAAAATCATTTTCCTGTAGTTTGCCGAGCTTGGATAAGACCTTCTCCTGACACCATCGAGACTTTGACTGAGGGTGATTTGTTGACTGCTCCTCATAGATCGCTTAGTTCAGGTCCTGAATACGTTGACCTCTCACCTCCCTCAGCTTCCTTCGCACCTTCTCCAGCATCCTTCCTTGCTCTCCCTTGGCTCGCTGGACATATACTATGGTCTTCTGCAACTTATTTAGGCCGCGACACGTCCAATGCGGCGAGCGGAGAATGTCGGTCGCTTCGACGAAGTGATTCTCGCCTGTACACTCCTTCGGCTCCGAACGATCGACAAACAGCCTTTTCAGTTCCAATGAGCAAGGCTAGGTTCATAGACTTTGAAGTGCAGGTGCTCGAGAGCCTGGCAGCTATCTGAAAGGGCCCTCACAACAACGGGATGAATCATGCGCAACTCAACTCGGATCAGGAACGGCGATTGACTGATCAGCTGATGCGTGACCATCGAAACGCAAGCGTCTCCTCTCCTCCCGACACCAAAAGTTTTGAAAGGATAGACCGAGTCTCCACCAGCAATCGGTCCACCATCGGCCAAGGGATTCATGAACACCACATCGCCCGAGAACTCCAATCGCTCCAGTTCTGGGAAAAACTTAAGATCCGGAGTAGGTCCCCCCCGTACTCCTCATTGGTCCGCTTCAACTCCTTGACCGCATGGATAATTGGGCACGTTCTTGTCGGGCTCGTTTCGCTCTAGTAAAGTCTTTTCTTGGGGTCTTGTACCGCTTTTGACCAGATGCCCGCCTCGCCATATATTAAAGTATGTTCCGTGGATTTTGCTCCGATAACCAAATATCATTCGAGGCGCTCGATGAGCATTTGGGATGAATGAACTTTGCACCCTTCAGTTCACGTCGGCGATTTGACAATGAAAACAAAGCATTTGGTCGCCGCGACCAACCCTTTCTCAAGGGTGCAGGACGATAGTCACTCCCCCGTTCAGTACTGCATCCTCGTCCGACGATATGTGTGTGTCCGATCATCGTCCTTGTTTTTTTTTCTTTGATCGAGCTCAAATAGTTTTTCGCACAGACGATTCTTGTCCGGTATCGAGTGGACTTGTTTGGGGATCGATAAGTTGGACACTGAGATCCAGGTCTCGTCTCGCAAGGGGACGGCTCGGGAGCATATGCAGATTTTCAGATCATATTCTATTAGGCGGCGGTAGGTTCATACCAGAGGAAGAGGGGGAAGGGATCCCTGAAGACGAGACACCGACACCGGAGCAACAACAGGCCTCACATCTGACTCAAAGACATGTTTGTGCACGACTGGCGCGACTCAGGAACCTCTCCCAGATTAGCTTCGGACCGCGCCACACTGTCGACCCAATGCTCCTCCTTAGCGAAGCAGCTACTCTATCATCCATGGTTTCGCAACGCGAGGTTGTCAAGCGAGGGCTCGATTTTTCACAGGGGTCTAAGTTCAGCGTGCTGCTGGCATCAATTCCGTACCTAGGTGGGGTTGAGTTGAGCAAGTTTGTTTATTCAGAAGAGAGTGCGTTTGATGAGCTCGCGTAGATAGAGGGGCGGTGGCGGTGGGTGGTACAGGAGGGGTGTGGGAACCAGGTCATTGCTGTTGAGGCACACCGACCCCTTTGAATGTGGCCGTTGGAATAAACTGGAGCAAGTTTGTGTTTGCGCGCACTCTTTTTTTTTACTGTTCTCTCGCTCTGCTAGTTTATTTCCTCGCTCTTTTAACTTCATCATTCATTTGGCTGTGCTTTGAGAGAGATGCAAAAGACAAATGGATAGTGTTTAGTAGTACATATAGGGTGGTTTAATAAACACGCTACGGTAATGCGAAGGAGTATCGACTTGGCTTATATTCTAGTCGGATGATGCTGATCCAGTAGCGCCGCGCTGCTCGAGCAACCTGCGATTCATTGCACTGAGACCAACAACACCATTGAGAACGGCACCAGAGGCGACTAGCACAGCAGGCCCAGAGGACCACACCAAATCAACAGAAACTCTTCCAGACCCATCATTGTCCTCCACCACCCGCCAGGCACGGATCGATCCTTCAATACTTGCCGTCGCAAACTCCAACGTGTTGGGCCTCCAAACAACGTCGTTAACAGATCTTGTAAACCCCTCAATGACTGACACACAATCCTGGACCTGTAGCGGTAGCGCCTGCTGACCATGCTCCGGGGATGGCAGCTTCCAGAGCCGAACACTGGTGTTGTGCGCTGTTGTTACCCATTGGCTGCAGGAAGAGAACGTAAGCTGGCTGCCCTCCTGGTCCTCCTTCAAGATATATCGCAAACTTTGGTGTTGTTGGTTGTAGTCCCACAATCGAATGGTGCCATCTCCGTCGCAGGAGGCCTCCTGGAGACAACCAAGTTTATCAACGACAAAATTCTCTCTGTGTAAAACAATATTGATCGTCCTTTCCGCATCGAGTTCGCTAGTGACTACCTCTAAGAGTAGAGCCTTTCCCTCACCGTATGCCGAAGCAATCCAGCGACCATCTGGAGAAAACTCAACACTATAAACGTATTCCGGGTGATTTCTTAGAACATGATCGGGTGCTCCTGAATAGGTATCCCAAAACCGCACCGTGCCGTCGTAACCACCAGAAGCAAGCCAGCGACCACAAGGCGAGAAGGCCACAGTACTCACGACAGACTCGTGCCCAGGAAGAACAAAGGGGGCAGCGCGGGATTCGGCGCTCCATAGAGTCACTTGCTGATCACTGCCGACGGCTAGCCGGAGACCGCACGGGGAGAATGCAATGCAATGTACGCCGTACAGGTGATCTTGAAAAACGAAGTCGACGTCTCCCGAATCCGCGTTGAATTGTCGCATGGGTGCGTTTCGACTGCCAGTGATGAGCTGCCGTCCGTCCGGAGAGTATGTCACGCATAACTGTGGGTCTACTATGTCATGAGAGTCGAATCTTGTTGTAAGCGGGTTCACCTCCCACAGTCGTAGAGTCTTATCGTAACTTGCTGAGGCAATATACGAGCCACTTGGTGAAAACCGAACGCAGCTGACACAATCCATTTGGCTGACAAATGATGAGATAAGTGCGCCAGAACGGGAGTCCCACAGCTTCACTGTACGGTCAAAACTGGATGAGGCGATCCATTGGTCATCGGGTGAGAAGGCGATACTGGTAATTCCATGCGTGTGTGCCGCCCCATGTGTGTGTGCCATCTCTTTCCATCCAGGCACTAGGGTGGTCGTTGCTGCCTCCCATAGTTGCAATTGACCTCCTAAGGAGCCTGTAGCGATTCGCTGGCCATCAAGTGAATATGCTAGACTCATAATCCAATCGTTGCCCTCGCAAGACTCCAGAATAAGCAATCCGGTGAGTGTGTCGAATATTCGGATCGTTTCATTCCAGCCGGTGGAAGCAATGGTGTTTCCGTTGGGCGAATAGGCAATGCTGCTATAGGCGCCAGCTCTGTTGGTCAAAACGAAAACGGAAGCACCGGTCCGAGCATCCCAGAGTATCACCGAGTGGTCGTTACTGACCGTTGCGACCTGCTGGCCCGTTGGAGAGAACGCCACCGCCCTCACCTCGTTTGAGTGTCCGTCCAAAATGAAATCGGCTGATCCAGTCTCGCTGGTCCGGAATCTTGGTACTTCATCCAAAATGCTAGAAGACATGGCATAGAACGCCCCCGCCTTCATTTCGTTGGGGTGTCCCTCTAAAATGAGATCGGTTGATCCAGTCTCGCTGTTCCAAAGGCGTGCTGTTTTGTCCCAGCTGCCAGAAAGAAGTTGTTGGCTGTTCGGCGAGTAAGCAAGACTTGTAACGGCTTTCTGGTGCCCTTGAAACACTTGAATCTTTGTCCAAGTTACAGTGTCGTAGATGCTGATGTCGCCGCTGTACAGACCTGCCGCGAGAAACTTGCCGTCCAGCGAGAAGGCGCATGACGAGACCCCCTCCAACTCCTCCAAGCATGGCAGCTCTCCAAATTGAGTTTCACCCATGCCTGCGCGGCTGAGATCCGCCTGTCGAATCCATGTCTTGGAGAGATTGACACCTGTCAAGTCGGCATCCTGTAGTTGTGCAGAGTCAAACTGCCCACCGGTAAGATCCGCTCCTGGAATGCGAATACCTCGAAGATCGACTCCGTTGAATCGTACCCTTGCCTTGACCAAGATCGTGATGGCATTTGCAGCGGCTTGAGCTGCTTGGTTGTCGTTCTTGGACTGCTCAATGATGGTGAGGAGCTCGTCCTTGAATCCAGAATCCAGCTGCACGCGCTCGGCTAGAAATTGAATGATCGAGGGTTCTACGGCAAGGTTCCTCAGGGACAATGGATGGATGCTGATGGTGGGTGAGGTGAAGGAAGCATCAGGAAGGATAGGCGGATCATATTCGCCGTGCTCCTTGATGAGTCCACAGATGGCGCTGGCAAAAAAATACTCCAGGATCGAACGATGGACAAAGCGGTACTGAGTGCCGGCTCGACTGAGAAGACTGGCGCCACGGAGAAGACTCGTCTCGCAGTCGATGCTGAAAAAGGCCGCTTTCCAGGAAGATTTGTCGTGTTTGTTGATGTAGTCGACAACAGGTCTGCCGTCCTGATGTACAAAAATCGCAGTTGCCAGATCCTGTTGAAACTTGACCCCACTCTGCTCGAATCCGGCCTCCAACAACTCCTCGAAAGCCACCTGGTTCTCCCTGTCCAGTCTTTGATCCTCCAGACGGCGCTTGTTGACAGCCATCCAGTGCCTCACAAAAGTGTCGTACAACTCCGCACGAGTGACCCGAAGCCTGTAGAGGTCGGTTTTCCCTTGCACGACGGTAGGAAGGGCCTCCAGTGATAGAGTAAGAAGGAACGGGTTCCTGACTAGATCCATGAGATTGGGGATAGCCTCCAGTTTGTCCATGTAGTCCTTCTTTACCCAGGAACGCGGCTCGAGAGGAACATAATGCTCCACATAACCCTCGATCTGCTCCCTGCTGAATGGGGCGATGACGGCTTGCTGGAAAAGATCGTTGACGACACGAGTGTACCGGTCCACCGCCTTTGGCTCGAAGCGACTCCGATAGTCCGGTCCGAGATACTGAGTGCGACAGGTAATGAGTAACTTGACATCCCACTGCCCAGATCGGTTGAAGAGATTGGTGGTATGCAGATTGGATGTAAGCTGGCTTTCGTCGTATCCATCACAGACCAACATAAATTGGCGGTGCAGCTTCAACTCATAGATCTGATCCTCCAAAAGGTTGTAGGTCCTTAATTGCTCCGCAACCAAATCCTTCTCTGGTCGCTCGAGGGATGGCAAGTTGACGAAAAGCGGGATGCGGCCTCCTGTCTTGTACTCCTGCCAGAGCTCGTGTTCCAGGTGTCGATTGAATGTCGATTTTCCCGCTCCCGAGTCCCCAAGAACAAGCATGACCTGAGTGTCGCCGGCCATAAAGTCCCTAACCTTGTCCATGAGTGGGAAGACCTCGTTGTCCCGAGCTTGGAGGTTGGCCTTGGCCATGGGAGGTATGTAGATGGACAGCTTGGCGGACAGTTTGGCATCGTCGAGTCGCTGCATTCGGAGCTTGTAGAGTTCGTACTCCATGTAAGGGATCTTCTGGACCTTGGCAAGGATCGGAGATGACTCTGGGATTGGGAGATGAGATCTCAGTGGGTAAGGGTTCTGAGTTCTGGGAGTGTTTCCCGAGTCGAGCTTCTGGAACTGAGCAATGGCGTGGCTGTTGATGGCTTGGTCAGAGACGGATCTTAGCTTGTCGAGGATGGTCACCATCCATGCTTTGACACTCTCGTCACGACCCCATTCCTGATCCTCCTTGTAGAGATAACCAAGGAGGTCAATGGCTTGTTGGCGAGTGGCGACGGTCCAGACAGAGTCGGCTGCAATCTCACCCAAGAGCTGGCAAATACCCCACTGGAACAAGGCATCCTGGCGACAGGGTGCCTCATAGATCAGCTGCTTCAGATCCTTCAGTTGGCCGGCCTGGACAAAGGCATACGCGACGCGGATGGCAGGATACCAAGGCCTCTTCTGACTAGACCCAAGACCTTCCTTCAGACTTTCTAGGACCTCTCGACCGCTTTCACGCAACGATCCCACACCCCCATAAACAGTAGCGGCGATCCCGATCGCACCAACTGCTATCTCCTGCAACTTTTCCAGTCCTTCTAGAACTGAGCCCAAATCCAATTTCATCACACATGTGACCTTGACTAGACCATCCACCATACCAGTCGAGTGCCTCAACACCACCTGTAGAACGGTCTCATAATCAGGCACATACTGGAGCGCTTGGAAAGCGTAGCAAGCCTGATACATCAAATAGGGATCAGAGCTGTCCCTCAGTCCTGACAAAACGGCAGACAATGGCTCGTGTTCCATGATTCGGTCCAAATCCTGTATCTTGTGGTCGGCCATGACATCGAGGATCCTGGAGACAGCCGATGTGAGGTGGCAAAGGTGCTCAGACGAGTGCTGGTGCGTTCCCTCCAAATGGGTCCTGAGGAGGCTGAAGACCTTGACCAAATCGTCAGAAACGAGAAACCCAGGCGAGGCAGACTGGACTAGCTGGACAAGACCTTGGAGCAGGTTGACGTTCAGAATGCGAGAATCATCAAAGTCGGCGATGAACGATGACAGTAACTTGCGGTAGGGCTCTCTCTGCAAAACAGGTCCAAGGGCGACAACTTCGGCAACCTTGGTCGAGTCCTTAGTGGCGTCCGTGATGAACGCCTCGACCATCTTGGTAACGAACCATTGCATACGATCCTGCCCTATTGGGTCCCCCTTGACTTCTGTCAGCCAGTTTTGTTCAGCCTTGTCGAGAGTCAGCTCCTGGGGAGCATTGGCGAGATCACCAGTCACAATTTCCTCGCTTGCAACAGGTGACCAAGAAGCGACTGAATCCTGGCGAAGCAGTATGTTGCAATAGAGCAATTGGTCAGTCCTTTCAATGCGGTCCTGGAGGCCTGGCAATGCAGTCTTGACAGCGGGTTTGGTGATGTTCTCCGGGAAGATGACTGAGCGGAGAAGGCCCTCAGTCTGCGCAATTGACAAAGGGTTGCCCTGATTGTCGTCGACCTGAGAGGCACCAAATGACTGAGTTGACTGCTGGGAGGGATCTTGAGAGCCCAACGACTGAGTCAAAGACTTGGCCGAGATCGAGGCCAAGGATTCAAAGAGCATGCGAAACTTAGAGCGCTTACTGGGAGGAGGTTGGGTGGTGTCGGAGCTGTCCTTGTCAGGGACATTAGCATCCTGTTGATCGAGAGGATGCTTGTTCATCGTGATGAGTAGCCTAGTAAAATGGCGAAGCAATTAGGTGTCAGTAACAAAGCATGCACGTCTTGTGACAGGGCGGAGTAAATTGAAGTTAAGTCGCATAAAGTCATTTGTGCTGCTACCTTGAACTGGTTGTAATATCTTTCGCACCTGGCGGATAGAGGAAGTATTGTGGTACTCAATGGACGACAGAAGTGAGGTTGTAGGGGACTAACACAGGAGGTAAGAATTGCAGAAATGTCAACTGCCGTGTGCATTTCTTGACATTGGTTACAGTAGACAAGATCATATAGGCACACATATCCAGGAACATATGGCTTACTTCTTGGACAAGAAGATGCTATCGTGTTTTTGTACTATATGCGCTCAGCAGTCTTTTGAAGGTGGCGGACTGTCTATGTGAATTGGGAGGAGAAAGTGAGGTTAGCACACTTCTAGGTCCCCTAATAGAGTTTGGGAGTGCTTCACTAAACACACCAGTGTGCTGTTTTTGTATGAAGGAAGCTTGTCGAAGGATGCGCGCTCGTGCTGTGGATGAGTGTTGGCAAATGACACGCATTACGGCAGTGATGGACACTTTGTGAGCGCCTTATGCTTATCACTTTTGTTGCTGATGAAGTTGTTCTTACGTTTGATCGAGATCAAAGTGGTTGATTCAAGAGTTGATTCCGAGCAAGTGAACTGCGGGGTGGTGGAGAACAACGAATGAAAAAGGAGAAGGTGTCGGATGAGGGTGGTGTTGATGTGTGCGATGATGAAGACGATGGAATTGTGCGAGAAACGAAGTCACTTTGTCCCATGTCAACCCATGTCATGTTGTTACACGAGTAGAGAATAAAAGAAAATAATCGTGCAAAGGCAAACCATGCACCATTGAACAGGCAAGGTAGTATACAATTGTGGAAAGGGATGGAGCCTTGATAGTGCAGGGTTGGGTTACCCGACGTTCTACTACCACTTAGCCCTACCGTTTCTGCTATCCCTTCGTCAGTGTAGATCTACGCAAAAGTCACCATTTATGTAGATATGGGTGCTGAAATTGGAAAAAAGCTGACGATTTGATGGAGGAAGGAATCCACTGGCCACCCATTTTTATGCGCTCGTGTGATGGCTGAACGAGTCCCCCATGGTACAAGAGGTGCTGACCATCAATGGAAGGCTTCAGTTGTAGACTGATAAAAATAATGGCCTTGGGGTCCATGGTACAAAAACCTCTTTTTGTGTTCTCTTGCAGGTTTTTTTTTCTTCTTCCTTCACTCACTCACACTCGTTCTTTTCGCACATGCACGGGCGTACTGTGGTTTCCTTGACCCTTTCTATCGCCTTTTTTCCACCAACAATATCAACCTAGTCTTTAATTGCAACAGGGAATGGAATTAACATAGCAACTGCTTACGCACTGTCGTGGGTCCATTTCCATTGGTTGGCAGAAAGGAGATCGAAGGCGAAGACAATGGATCGTCGTTAACTGTGGTAGATGTCCCAGACAAAAAGTGGGGGTACCACATAAGAAAAACGTACCAGAGCGCTATGACACGGTCCAAATTCAAAGGGTATCCTCAGCAAAGAATAAAAAACGTGGAACATCGCAGTACCTACCTTCAAGGTAGCGAAAGGCTCGTCGACCTCGAAGGTTAGCATCGCCGCCACATGAGTCTGTTTGTGAAACCCAAACGCATCTTTTATATTATCAGTAGTTTTAAACGGAGGGAACATCTGTACCACATCGGGCATGTTGTTTGGGGACGGTGTGAGCCGTGAAAATATTCTTACCAAAGCAGGCTAACATAGCACGGCAATATCGCGTGAAGTTATATGTACACAAAGAACAAGAAAGGGCTCCAAGTCAAGCGCCGTGTATCCTTGACACAGATGAAAAAGTCACACATTACAGTACTTTATTTCAGTTTAAAGAACGTGCATCGCGAGAGACTGATCCAGTTCGCAAAGTCAACGTTTCTTTTTTATGTGACTTGATCAAAGGAATAAAACCTGTTAATCTTGTTGTTTGAATCGTAAACTTTGTAGGGGTTCCTGAAAATCTGACGAAAGGGCTGGCGAGGCAGACGAAACCCTGGTCGGTATGGTGCTATGTTACTCTTTGCAACGTCTATCCTACCACCTCGTTTCTTACCTTCTGAACCTTAGAGAAATAGTTCTTTTTTCTTGGTAATATAAAGCCAGGAAGGATTTTTTGGTTGGAACGCAAAAGCAGTGAGGATTATCCTGAGGATCGATCGGTGACAAGTGGTTCTGTCATCTTGGTAGGCCGACTGCTACACATGGGCAACTCATCCTCTGTGAGCTGCCGCCTTGTGAAAAAGAAAAACACGAGTGGCGTTACCTTTGCGTATCCATGAAGTTGGGGGTCATGATCCGCAACGAAAAGAGAACAACCAAAATCTGCGTGCTTTCGCTTCATCGTAGTTATAATTATGATTATCAAACATAAGAGAACATAATGTGCGGCCTATCGACCGCATAGACCAATCCGAGAAGTTATGCATAATCTTCAAACGGCACCTGAAACCCCTTTTTAGATCGTCGAGTAGTGGTGGATGATAATGAGTCTTGAAATTGTGATCCTCGGTGTAGTTAACACATAATCAAACAAACACCTTTTGACACTAATATCGCCTATCAGACAGAGACTTATCCTTGAGCAAATTAACATAACCTAATGGTGAAGGTATCGTCGCGTTGTGGAATGAGAAAATTAGTGGATGGAAGGTACATCGACTCAAATCCTTCAGGGCTTCATTTCAAATGGGAGATAATGAAAAAGGGGTTGCAGAGATGTTCGGAGGAAGGCAAAATATTAATAAGTACCATCTGCGAGTGTAACGATTCGGGTAGAACTACGCGCATGATTAGTCCGAGCACTTCATCCTTTGGGACAGTGAGAAGTGAAAGAAAAGCTGTCGGAGGAAGAAATGGGAATCCGTCCGCAGCTCGTATTAAAACAAAAGGCTCGTTTGGAGCTCGATGGTGTAAGGAAATTGTTGCAGAGAAGAGGCGCAAGGAACGACAGACGTAGCCTCTAAACCTACAATGAAAAGCTCCCTTCAAATCCGCACCGCAGTGAATATGAACCAATATGCACCAGGAAGCCATTGCACGAGACCTACAATCGCGCGAGAACAATTTTTTTTTTCAGGCATCGCAGTAAGCACAATCCATCACGTCATTCGTCCTCGTTCTTTTCGTGTACCACAATAAAGAAACACGAGATCAAAAGTTGTCGATTATCGTCCCCCTTCCTGCTGTTTGGCTATCATGAACGTAGGAATTATCAACATCAAGAATTATCGTCTGTGTTCTTCTTTTGCTAATTTTAATTGGAGACAAAAAGGGCAATGTATGAGGATGATGACCATAGCCCACAGCAAGAACAGGTAGACAGGAGATAAAAGTCAACACAGGAACTCACCCTTCACCAATCAACAAACAAACAATGCAAAGTGTGTGTGTGTATTGTTATCAAAGAAGCATTCCAAAGTATAGGGGAAAAAAAATACAATCGATGTGGAAGAGGATGGTCACAGGACGAACAAGACAAAATCCACTGCACGTTGAGAAACGACTGCGATATCGTGGTAAAGGTTTGGAATGAGAACAGACCACATCGACCGAAGCTCATCCCCTTTCGCCTGGTTTGTTTTCTGTTTCTTTTGTTTGTTTGTGTACAAGCAAAGATGCACCGTACCTCAAAAGAGAAGAGAACGCATCCAAAGAAAGAAAGCCACAAAGCACACAAACCATACTTCTCGCCATTTATCCCCCTCGTCTATTATTTCATTCAAATTCTTCTGAAGAAGGGCTTGCGCGCAGTTCGCCGCAGTTAGTGTCATTGGTGGCAATGGTGGCATTGCGCATGATCACATTCATCCGCCGGATTGCCGCCAAAACTAAAAAAAAAAAAAAAAACGTCGGCCAAGCCCTAACAAGGGATGAAGCGGAAGCGACTGTGCGCACTAATGGACCAATGCGCAAAAAATCTAGTCCATTCGACACAATCAAAGCGGCGCGGAGGAATGAACAGACGGGAAGGATGGTCATTTGGCATTGGACCGAAAATGAAAAGACGCCACGCCTCGTCCCTCGCATTTGCCTTTGTTTTGGCCACTTTGCGCTGTCGTCTGTGTTTGTTTTTTCTTTGTTGATTGGGCTTGACACTACACATCTTCGTCAGATGTCGCAGTCGAAATGGAAGTGCTGTTTGTTGATTGTTGTTGACCCATGCGATAACCGAGATAAATACATGCTCGATTGTTGAGTCGAGTCTAGTAGAAACGTGCTAGCTTTTTCTTGTCGAGCTCGGTACATTTTTTTTCATTGATGCGTTTTTCTTGTTTCAGGTTGAAATTGGTTGGAAGGTGAGGGCTTGTTCATTTTTTGAACAGGAAATCGTCATGGGCGCTACCAGCATCGCTTTTTTTTTTCGTACCCGAGGAGGGTTGAGTTGATAAAGTTTGGTTTTTTCAGAAGAGTGCTTATGATGAGCTGGTGTGGATGGAGAAGCGGTGGTGGTGGGTGGTACAGGAGAGGTGTGAGGACCAGGTAATTGCTGTTGAAGCGCATCAACTCCTTTGAATACGGCCTTGCCCTGTTAGTTTATTTTCTCGCCGTCTTCCTCTGGCAGTGCATTGGGACAGATATGCCAGCAGTCTATATAAAGAAGTATTTTATAAAAACGCTACAGCAATGCGAAGGAGTATTGACTTGGTTTATGTTCTAGTTGGGTGAAGCCAATCCTTTAGCGCCGCGCTGCTCGAGCAACCTACGATTCGCCACACCGAGACCAATAACACCATTGAGAACGGCACCAGAGGCGACTAGCACAGCAAGCCCAGAGGACCACACCAAATCAACTGAAACTCTTCCTGACCCATCCTTATTTTCCACCACCCGCCAGGCACGGATCGATCCTTCATCACTTGCCGTCGCAAACTCCAACTTGTTGGGCCTCCAAACCACGTCGTTAACATCGCTTGTAAACCCCTCGATGACTGACACACAATCCTGATCCTGTAACGGTGGCGCCTCCTGATCCTGATCTAGGGATGGTAGCCTCCAGAGTCTAACACTGGTGCTGTGAGCTGTTGCTACCCACTGGCCGCAGGACGAGAACGCAAACTGAAAGGTGCGCCGGTCCTGCTTCAAGATATATCGGAAACCTTGGAGTTGTTGATCGTCGTCCCATAATCGAATGTTCCCATCCCCGAGGCTGGAAGCCACCTGGTGACAACCGGGTTTATAAACGACAGCATTCTCACGGTACTGATCGCTATGGTCCGTCCTTCTTGCCTTTAGTTCGCCAGTACCGGCCTCCCAGAGTAGGACAATTCCTTGACTGCATGCCGATGCAATCCAGCAACCATCCGGAGAAAAAGCAACACTCCGTACCTCTCCCCCATCGCCAAACATAACATGACCGGGTGCTCCTGAGCGAGTATCCCAAAGCCGCACTGTCGTGTCGTGACCACCAGACGCAAGCCAGCGTCCACAAGGTGAGAAGGCCACAGACGTCACGCTTCCCTTGTGCCCACTAAGCACAAAGGAGGCAGTGCGGGATTCAACGTTCCAGAGTGTCACCTCCTCCCAGCCGCCGATGGCTAACTGAAGACCGTTCGGCGATAACGCAACGCATGTCGTATAGTGGAGGTGATCGGGAAAAACAAAGTCGACGTCTCCTGAATCCGCGTTGAATTGCCGCATGGGTCTCCGTTGACTGCTAGTGATGAGCTGCTGTCCGTCCAGAGAGTATGTCGCACAGACCTGTGGATCTGGTAAGTCATAAGCGTTGAGTCCTAGTCCAGACGAGTTCACCTCCCACAGCCGCAGAGTCTTGTCGTCACTTGCTGAGGCGATATGCGAACCATTTGGTGAAAACCGAACGCAGTTGACAATGCCCACATGGCTTATAAATGACGAGACAATTAAGCCGGACCGAGAGTCCCACAGGTTCACTGTATGATCCCCACTGCATGACGCGATCAAACGGTCGTCGGGTGAAAATACGATGCTGTCAAATCCAGCCGTGTGCGCCGGCCATGTCCATCCGAGCCCCAGGGTGGTCGCTGTAACGTTCCATAACTGTAACTGGCCGCCATAGGAGCCTGTAGCGATCCACCCACCGTCATGTGAATATGTCAGACACTTAATCCAACTGTCGCCCTTGTAAGACTCCAACACAACCAATCCGGTGAGTGTGTCGAATATTCGGATCTTTCCACCAATGTTGGCGGTGGCAATGGTATTTCCGTCCGGTGAATAGGCAATGCTGGTTGCGACTATGTCGTCGGTCATCACGAAAACAGAAACACCGGTCCGAGCGTCCCAGAGTGTCATCGAGGAGTCAGTGACCGTTGCAACCTGCTGCCCCGTTGGTGAGAACGCTATCGCCCTCACCCCGCGTGAGTGTTCCTCCAGAATGAGATCTGTTGATCCAGTCTCGCTGTTCCAAAGGCGTGCTGTTTCGTCCGGGCTGCCAGAAAGAAGTTGTTGGCTGTTCGGCGAGTAGGCCAGACTTGAAACATGATTTTGGTGCCCTTGAAACATTCGAATCCTTGTCCAGGTTGCAGTGTCATAGATGCTGATGTCTCCGCTGTACAGACCTGCCGCGAGAGACTTGCCGTCCGGCGAGAAGGCGCATGATGAAACCCCCTCCGACTCCTCCAAGTACGGCAGTTCTCCAAATTGAGTTCCACCCATGACTGCACGGCTCAGATCCGCCTGTCGAATCCATGCCATGGAGAGATTGACATCGGTCAAGTCGGCATCCTGTAGTTGTGCAGAATCAAACTGCCCACCGGTAAGATCCGCTCCTGGAATGCGAATGCCTCGAAGATCGGCGCCATTGTGTCGTACACCGGCTCGGACCAGGATCGTAATGGCGTTAGCCGCAGCTCGGCTCGCTTGGGAGTTTGACTTGGACAGCTCGACGATTGTTAGGAAATACTGCTTGAACCTGGCACTCTGCTTCACGCGATCGCTCAAGAACTGGATCACAGAAGGCTCGGTAAGTAGGTTACGCGTGAACAAAGGGCCGTTGGTGTCGATCAACTGGTCGTCAGGCGAGACAGGATTTGTCTGGGGGGTCGATTCATCGTCGCCGCCATGACTGCTTGGATCAAGGATAGCACGCGAGAAGAAATACTCAAGCATGGAACGATGAAGGAAGCGGTGCAAGTTGCCGGTTCTGGTCAAAGGGCTTGAGTCTCGTAGGAGTCGTGCCTCGGGGTTCTTTCCAAAGAACTGCGCTCTCCACGTGTCCTTATCCTTGTGGTGGACATACTGGACAATCGGATTCCCGCCCTGCTTCTCAAAGATCGCCAACGCCAGCCTCGTGGAATAGTCAATGCTTGTCGGAGTAAACCCTGCGTCCTTAAGGTCATCAAAGACAGCACGATCTTCTGTGGACAAGATGTTGCTTTGAAGTCGGCGCTTATTGACATCGCTCCAGTGCTCCACAAATGTGTCGTATAGCTGGGCGCGGGTGATCTTGATAGCTGACAGATCCTGCTTGCCTTCAACGACCCCTGGCAGTGCCTCCAGCGCTAGTGAGAGCAGGAACGGATTCTTGACAAGGTCCATGAGGTTTGGGATGGTCGTCAGCTTGTTCATGTAGTCCTCTGTGAGCCAGGTCCTTGGCTCAAGGGGAACATATTGCTCGACATAATCCTTGATCTGCTCTGTCGAAAAAGGGGCGATGATAGCCTGTTGGAACAGATCGACGCCAGGGAGGTTGTAGTGACCACCTCCATGGGGAACAAACTGGTCGCGGTAGTCTTGGCCAAGGTACTGACTCCTGCAACTGATGACAAGCTTGACATTCCACTGTCCAGAGGTGTTCAAGCCGTTGGAGTTGTGAATGTTGACGGTGAGTTGGCTCTCGTCGTATCCATCGCAGATGACGATGAACTGTCGATGTTGCTTCAGTTCCTGGATCTGCTCCTCCAAAAAGTTGTGCTCCCTCAATTGCTCAGCCATCAGATCTTTGGCCGACCTCTCGAGAGCTGGGAGGTTGATGAAGAGCGGAATAGGCCCGCCGCGCTTGTACTCTAACCAAAGTCGATGCTCGAGATGTTTGTTGAAGGTCGACTTGCCAGCTCCAGAATCTCCTAGGATCAACATGACCTGGCGGTCACTGATCAAGAATTCCTGCATCTTTTCCATGAGTGGAAAGACCTCGTTGTCCTGAGCTTGAAGGTTGGCTTTGGCCATGGGAGAGATATAGATGGATAGTTTGGCATCGTTGAGCCGCTGCATTCGGAGCTTGTAGAGTTCGTACTCCATATAAGGGATCATCTGGACCTTGGCAAGGATCGGAGATGACTCTGGGATTGGGAGACGGGATCTCAGTGGGTAAGGGTGCTGTGTCCTAGGAGTGTTGCCCAGGTCGAGTTCCTGGGACAAGGCAATGGCGTGTTGGTTGACGGCTTGGTCAGAGGTGGATCCTAGCTTGTCGAGGATGGTCACCATAAATGCCTTGACACTCTCATCACGACCCCATTCCTGATCTTCCTTGTAGAGATGACCAAAGAGGTCAACGGCTTGCTGGCGTGCGGTAACAGCCCATGCATTGTCGACCGCAATCTCGCCCAAGAGCTGGCAAATACCCCACTGGAACAAGGGATCCTGGCGACAGGGTGCCTCGTAGATCAGCTGCTTCAGATCCTTCAACTGACCGGCCTGGAAAAAAGCATTCGCGGCGCGGATGGCAGGATACCATAGCCTCTTCTGACCAGACCCAAGGCCTTCCTTCAGACTTTCTAAGACTCCTCGACCGCTTTCACGCAGCGATCCCACGCCTTCGTAGACAGTAGCAGCGATCCCAATCGCACTGACCGCCACCTCCTGCAACTTTTCCAGTCCTTCTAGAACCGACCCCAAATCTAACTTGAGGACACTCGTGACCTTGACCAAGCCATCCACAACACCAGCCGAGTGCCTCAATAATGCCTGAAGAACAGTCTCATCATCAGGGACATACTGAAGCGCTTGGAAAGCGTAGCAAGCCTGATACATCAAGTAGGGATCAGAGCTGTTCCTCAGTCCTGACAGTACGCCAGACAGTGGCTCGTGTTCCATGACTCGGTCCAAATCCTGTACCTTGTGGTCAGCCATGACATCGAGGATCTTGGAGACAGCCAATGTGAGATGGCAGAGGTGCTCAGACGAGTGCTGGTGTGTTCCCTCCAAATGGGTCCTAAGGAGGCTGAAGACCTTGACCAAATCGTCAGAAACGAGAAACCCAGGCGAGGCAGACTGGACTAGCTGGACAAGTCCTTGGAGCAGGTTGACGTCCAGAATGTGAGAATCGTCAAAGTCACGGATGAACGCAGACAGTAGCTTGCGGTAGGGTTCTCTCTGCAAAACAGGTCCAAGGGCGACAATTTCGGCAACTTTAGTCAGGTCCTTGGTGGCGTCCGCGATGAACGCCTCGACCATCTTGGTAACGAGCCATTCCATACGATCCTGCCTCATTAGGTCTTCCTTGACCTCTGTCAGCCAGTTTTGTTCACCCTTGTCGAGAGCGGACGCCTGGGGAGTAATGGCGGGGTGATCAGTCGCCCTCATTTCTCCTGCATCTGACGACGAAGAGATGATTGAATCCTGGCGAAGAAGCATGTTGCAATAGAGCAATTGGTCAGTCCTTTCAATGCGGTCCTGGAGGCCAGGCAATGCAGTCTTGACAGTGGGTTTGGCGACATTCTCTGGGAAGATGACTGAGCGGAGCCAATCCTCATCTGGCGCCAGTGATGAAGGTTTGCCCTGGAGGTTGTCGACCTGACAAGCGATAGAGGACTTAGCGGTCTGCTGAGAGAGAGACAGAGATTTCAATGATTGGGTCGAGTGTTTGGCCTTGACTTTTGGCAAGGATCTGGGAATATGTAAAAAGTCGAGGAACTTATCGCGCTTCCTGGGAAGAGGTTGAGTGGGGTCGGAGCTGCCCTTGTCAGGGACATTAGCATCTAGTTGATCGAGAGGGTGGTTGTTCATCGTGGTGAGTGGCCTAGTATAAAGGCGAAACAATTAGGTGTCAGTAACAAACCATACACGTCTTGTAACACGGCGGAGCAAGGTGAAGTCAAATAACATACGGTTCCATGTGTTCTTACCTTGTAACTGGTTGTGATGTCGTTTACACTGGGCGGATATAGGGAGTATCGTGTATGGCACTCAATGAATGTCAGAGGTGAGGTCACAGGGGACTAACATAGGAAGCAAGGATTGCAAAAATGTCAATTGCTGTGTGTATTTCTTGACATTAGTTAGAGTAGACAAGATCGTATAAGCACACATTATCCAGGAACATATGGCTTACTTCTTGGACAAGAAGATGCTGTCGTGTTTTTGTGTACTTCCTTTACTTTTTTGGTTATGTATGGTCGGTGGTCTTTTGAAGGTGGCGGATTGTGTATGTGAATTGGGGGAGAAAGTGAGGTTAGCACACTTCTTGGTCTCCTAGTAGAGTTTGGGCGTACTTTGCTGAACACACCAAGGTCTTTAGAGTTTGCTGTTTGTGTATGAAGGAAGCTTGTCCAAGGATGCCTGTTTGTGCTGTGGATGAGTGTTGGCAAATGACACGCCTTAAGACAGTGATGGACACTTTTGAGCGTCTTATGCTTGTCGATTAAGTTGCTGTGTTGTGATGGCTCGGGTGGTCTTACGTTTGATCGGGATCAAGACGTCTGTTAATTCAAAAGTTGATTCCGAGCGAGTTCACTGCGAGGTGGTGGAAAACAACGAATGAAAAGGGAGGTGTCGGATGAGGGTGGTGTTGATGTGTGAGATGATGAAGGCGATGGAACTGTGCGAGAAACGAAGTCCTTTTGTCCCATGACAAACATGTCACGTTGTTGCACGAACAGAGAAAAAAGAGAATAATCGAACCATGCAACGTTGAACAGGCAAGGTAAGGTACAATTGTGGGAAGGGATAGAACCGTGATAGTGCAGGGTTAGGTTACCCGAAGCTCTACTCGGCCCTATGGTTTCTGTTATAACACCATCAGTAGGTGTTGGGAACAAGTGTGTTGCGAACTTAAAAAGCGGCTGTGGTTTACAGATCTACGCAATAGTCATCATTCAAGTAGATGTGGGTGCTCTACGATGGATATACCAGTCCAGCTGGCCCGAGGCAGGGACGCGTTCAGGTCAACGTGGTTTCTCTTCCTATCATTCTACCATACCAAGACCGAATACGTGTTGTGGATGGGAGGAGATTATGTACAAAATAGGGGAGGGATCCAGGACAGAGTGAAAAGGGATCAGAGAATAAAGGAGGGACCCGGAGCAGAGCTAAAAGTTCGAAAAAAAGGTTAGGGATCGGCCAAAAATAAGGAGAGGAAGCAAAGGTAGAAAAGGCAGCTAAGATTGAATGGGGATCAAGGTCGAGGGTCCAAGCTCGCTCTGCTGAGCAAAGTCTATTTTTCCTCCTTGAGGATCGATCGATTCCACCTCTGCACTCACTCTATAGTTTTCATGGACTATTCTTGTACGTCTCGTTGGATGACAAGCGATTCTCCGAGGTACGGAATTTTTGCATCGTCAGTCAAGAGACGAGACAAGGGCTTCACCCACTGTGAGGTTGAAAAAATAAAGGCATAAGATGGCCATGATTTTTTTTACTGGGTCAAAGCGCGACGACTCCTTGCACTTCAAAAGAAGAGAAAATGCATGCTGCGGTATCCTCAGTTTGATGTTGTAGTAGCTATTCATTCTCTTGTTGTAATTGGGTTTACATGTTGAAGTCATTGGCACTTTTTATTTTAATACGTAAAGTTGATGAGGGATACGTGAGAATGCTGGTGTTTTCGGGTGCTGAGGCTGTGGGGTTCAAGAAAATGGATTTTTCTGCGCCTTTGCAAGAGGGAGGGAGGAAGAGTAAAGAGAGAAGAGAGAGTGGGAGAAAGAATTAAAAAGAAATAAACATATGCCAATGGTCATGCTTTCTTTCGGGGTCGTGTGATCGCGCTTTGGTAGATGAAGGAATCATGCATGCGGGTAATAATAATGATCTCCATGCCTACACGCTCGTGTGATGGCTGAGCGAGTTCCCATGGTACAAGAAGTCCTGATCATCAAAGTGCTCAGCTGCGAACTGATGAAAAAAGGATGGCCTTGAGCTCCATGGTACAAAAACTTCTTGTGTTCGCTTACAGGCTTTTTCTTTCTTCCTTCACTCACCCACACTTATCCTTTTTGCACATACACGTGCGTATTGTGTTTTCTTTGATCCTCTCTATCGCCTTTTCCCCACCAACAATATCAACCTGTCGTCTTCAATCGCAACAGGGTATGAATAAAACAAACACAACATCTGCCAACGCACTATCGTGGGGTCCATTTCCTTTGGTTGGCAGAAAGGAGATCGACTGCTGAAGAAGTGCATCGTCGTCAACATTATTAGGTGTCCAAGAAAAAAGTAGAATGTGTGTCACATGAGAAAAGTGTACCAGATCGCTATGACATGATTGTCCCGGACTGAAGGAATGTCTGGGCAAGGGCATGTGGTTCGGGCGGACGACATTTTCAACAGACCCAGATGGACTTGTGTCGACATTGAAGAGCTGGATATCGAGATAGTTAGTGTGCCTCGACTGGCTACGGAGCAGGAGCATCTGCTGGGCGATTTGAGTCTGCTCATGGGGCTGGATGATGAATATGAGGTATTGAAGCTCAAGAAGGAATCCTACGCGCTCATAATAGGGTCTATCGGCGATCGGCATAACTCCAACACCTTCGCCGGACACACCTTGAGAGCACTTGGGTGCAAGGGAGAAGGAGCGTAGTTAGTGTCTGGATTTGGTGATCTCGTGAGTTTTCGCCATCTAGAGTGGATGGGTTACGCGAGAGTGACAATAGGATTGGCAAGGCTGAACGAGGGTGGATTCGGGCATGCTGGCCGAAGGTTACCCTTTCAAGCACACAGTGGTCGGCTGAGCTCGTTGCGTTTGTTCCCGAGTAATTGGATACCTTTGCTTTGCGTTTCAGCTAGCAATTACTTTTGGGATTGTGGGAGTTAGTGTTTAGCCTCGATGGAGAGTGGGCCGGTATTTTTTTTTCTGCTATGCACCTACATAATCAACATTTAACCAATTAAAAAAAAAAAAGCCAATTGCATAACTTCTCATTACGGATGAACCTTAGAAAAACGTTCTAACAAAAGACTTGTGTCAAGAAACCACATTGACAATTGCCAATTGACAACAGTCACCATGACGAGCTGTGAGAATGCAATTAGAAAATAGGTCATGCTTGCCATATGATGCTGTGCGTTCAAAACAAGGGATGTCCTGTGTTTGTGAAGTGTAAACAAGTGTTAAATGTGTGTGAACCAGTGCTAGTAAGGTTTAGTAGGATTTGGTGGCAAATTTCAAGAAATAAATGAAACACAGCAATCCTGCTTTTCTTCTTTTTCTTGACAGGGGGTCCATTTCCCGGACCTGTTTGACAATTGACACTTGACATCATATTCCAATTTCATTTCTTGCACAGTTGCGCTCCGTATCCATGTGACCCTTTTCTACAGACTTCTCTTGTTTGATTTTTTTGCTATTTCTAGTCGAATGTCCTTCCCTTCTGCTTGCTTCTCTCATTCAGTATATATACTCGTCATTCGTCGTTGGTTTTTTCTTTCTTTCATCTCAGCTCATTCTTCTTTACTTCTCTTCATTATCTTCTTCATTGTCAGTTATTTTCACCCGATTTCTTTCTTCTTTTCTTTGATTTCACTCTACCCTCTTCATTCTCTCTGCACATCCTTCCCCCGCGGATACAATGTGTTCCACTACACCAGTCATCATGGACACAATGTACCTCCCTCCAGAACTCCTGGCCCACATCGCGTCTTTCCTCGACGCCGAATCCTGCCTCGCTTGCGTCTCTGTCTGCCGCCAGTGGAACCAATTCTTTGCACCCTACCTCTGGCACACCGTCAAGATCTCTGAGCAGCCCTGGGCCCGACTCTTCTCCGTTCCTTACCCCTCCTCCTCCTCATCTTCATCCTCTCCGAGACCGCCGGGCAAGGAACAACAACAACTCATCAGCTGCTTGGTCAAGAAATACGCTCGATACATTCGGGTCTTGGAGATGGATACTGCATGGTTGCTTTGGGGTGCCATGATTGGTCGTGTTAATGGGCTTTTGTCCTTGACGTTCAGGCGCCCTTCCCCTGAACTAGCAAGATCGAATTTGGGGTTTGAGGGGTGTCAAGTCCACGTTGAGAGCTCTGAGGCCGTGCCGTATTCGGTTTTTGATGTCGAGCCCAAGGATTACGCCTCCCCGAATTTCAAGATGACCCTTGCGTGCTGGCATATGGTTCTGCATAACAGGGACCTGCAGCATATTGCCTTCCAGCAGCAGCATCAAGGACTCGGTGATGTCCCGCTCAAGGTCCAAGAGGATGGAGATCATGTCTATGGATTGACGCCTGCGGGAAAGTCGTTCTTGATTAATCTTCTTTCTCGCCTGCCAGACCTGCGACATGTCGAGATTGGACAGAACGCGGATGATTTTCTCCTGGTCAGTCTTGCGGAGCATTTCCCAATGGTCACGTCATTTGTTCACCTGGGGACCATGGCGTTCGATCCGAGTGTTCTCCCGCGCCTGCCAGGTCGGCACCCGTCGTTGCAATCGCTCAGTTTCAAGATGTCGGATTTCTTGAGCATCGAGGCGGAACAGCTCCGGTGGATCGTCACAGCTTTTCCAGGGCTACAACACCTCTCGGTCCCTGGGTATTTTAGCGGTGCGCTACTGGGGTCTCTAGGGTGGAACGATATTGATAATTGCTCGATCCAGACACTGTCAGTCTCGGATTTCGCATACACGGCGATGGAGGCCGACCTGTCGGTGTTCGAGAAGGCCAAGATCACATTCCGAGCGGTCAAGGAGTTGAAGAGAACAGGAGAAGAGTACGAGTTGTTCGGTGACCTATTCCGGATTCTGCGGTTCTTCCCTTGTCTGGAGCGACTCGAATTCGCACGCGACGCCGAGTTTTCTGACCCCTTGGTTGGCGGTAGTATTGGCGATTGTGGTGGTGGTATGGGTGGTGGGTTTGTCGATGATCGAGACTCGGTCTACAGATTCAAGACCCTGGCACTCGGATATGAAGCCCGCCTGTCCTTGGACGCAATTGCACAATTGACGAGCGAATCCCCCTACCTAACCCGCGTCACCCTCCAAGACATCCACCCCGCTGTCGTACGAACGCTTGCCTACAGCTGCCAGGCCCTCGAATACGTACACTTCAACACCGACGAGTCGTGCTCGTTAGAATTGAACACTTTACTCGTCCACTGTCGGAGGTTGAAAGAGTGTACCGGCCGGGGTCACGTTGTATTCGCGACAGATATCCTTCGCTCCCAGCATTGGACCTGTCTGGGCCTCCAGAAGCTAGATATCACGATTGTTGATGTGCCAAGGGCGAAGGGGGAAGAAGTTCGACTGCTCGAGAGAACACAGAAGCGGATCAGAAGAGCGAGAGGGCAGCATGGAGTCGTACACGATATGATCCTGGATACTTCTGTCGAGCAGCAGTCCACTCAGGAATCTCAACCAAAGTCGCAGCTGTGCCAGAGGAAAGTGTTCTCGAAACTCGCAAGATTGACACAGTTGGAGGAGGTCGATTTCCGGTACCGTCCCTCCGAGGGGCGAGACGAGGCTGATGAGGGAGTGTGGGACGGCGAGGAAAGGATGGACGAGGATGAGACCGATACAGAGACGGACGTGAGTGAGCAGTACTGGGCCTCACTCGAGTTTACGTTGGAGGCGGGGCTTGAGCAGTTGGGTGTCTTGGAGCATTTGAGGATGATTGCATTCGGGGTTGAGGATGGCAAGTTTGGACAGAGGGAGAGGGATTGGGTGCGGGAGCTGTGGTGTATGAACGAGATTGGTGGGGAGAAGGGAGTCTTTTGTGCGGTGGATTTGATGTGAGCAGAGAATGTTCATCCTTCAACAAAACCTCGGCTAACCTCATCAGCCTCAACAACGTATCAATAACACAACAACCACAGCGGCGACAAAAGCCAGCAATCAAAACCACTCAGTGATAACAACAAGCACCAACGATAGTAGTAGTAATAGGTCAGAGCGACACTGCATACAAATAATATTTGATTTTCTTGAACAACTACTACGTGAACATTGGTGGCACAGACGGTTGCTGGATCCAACACAACCATTGGCTCTGCGTAGTAGTAGAATACTCTGCATTTGATTGGATCAGGAAGGAGCATGTTGCACTGGTATGCTATTGACATCAGTAACTCCTCTCTCATCACCGTATGACACTTGTCCTCAGCCTCTTTTTTTTGCTCTTTCTCTCCACCAGAAACATCCTTCCTGACCGCACCACTAAACATGTCCTCCCTTTTCACCCTTTGCACTTTTTCCCTCCTTCCGCCTTCGGCCACCCACTGTCGATATCTCCGACAACAGGTGACGGTGGGAATATGTCGGAGATGTCGACAGTGGGTGTCCGAAGGCGAAAGGTGTGTGAAAAGTGCAAAGGGTGAGAGGGGAGGAAGAAAGGAAATTTGGTATGAAGAAGAAAGAAGTGTCAGCATCACCTTCATTGTAAAGGTTAGCTATCCTTGGTTATACTTGCTAGGCTGTATTCTTTCTCCTACAGACTTACAGAACTACAAATGTGTGTGTGGTTCGTCAGCTGTCCAAATCGTTTCCTGATAATGTCCTGGACCCTACGTGTTTCCTTATGCAGCACCACAACTTCTCGCTCCACATCAGTCTCCGGGGGCCTCTCAGCCATCTTGTCCAACACATACATCTGTTCCACACTTAACCGAGGAACACCACCAACCTTCATATCCAACTTATCGAGCCCGGAGCAAGTCCATTCGGGCCCATTCATAATATCCTCCGCCAAAATCATGTGCCCTTTGCCAAGACATTCCCTCAACTCGGAGCATCCCACAAAAAGCGCGTTCAGTTCTTGTGAGCACTCTTCCTGCAGATCGAACCGCGCATACACTAGGTACACGCACGTCCTTGCCAACTCGGTCAACATGCGCCCGTCAAGGAACCCTCCACTGATCTCCAACAGCACAAGGAACGGCATCTGGGCGATACAAGAGTCGAGGTCACAGGTTGAGAAGGAACTGGTGTTGATGTTCAGGCTGCGGATATGGTACTCTCTGTCCTCATGAACGATCTCATCTGCTCTGAGGGGGACTCGTTCGCCAAGCTCGTACTCAGAGTCGAAACTCTCCAACGCAGGAAAAGCCCACAGAAGCTGTCGTAGTTCATAGGCGTTCTTGATAGGCACAGATCGGTCAATTCCTGTAATCCTGGGGAACCTGGTTCGAGAGCGCAGAAAGTTGATGTGGGGTTGGTGTCGAATGGAGAGACTTGTCAGAGAAGAGTGCTCAAGAACATCCTCTGCTTGGAAGGAGGTGGAGCTGGTGAGGATGTTGTACTTGTCGTAGTTGACGTCGTAGATTCTGCTTCGAGCTTGGGTGATTGCTAAGCGATGCAAGACCGGAAAGGCGACGACTATGGCCCGGAGTTGGCTGGCTGTCATCGACACCTGCTGAAAGTCCAGAATCCGAAGTGCCTGATGCGGAGAAGCCAGCTGAACCGCTCCTGCGTGGATGAACGCGCGGTCCACATGAACGAACGAATCCAGGTTAGGTAAAAGTGTGGCGAGGTTTTGGAAGATAAAGCTGTCGGCGTTCATCCCGAGTTCTAAATGTCTCAGCCTCGACAGTCTTGATAGTATGTCGACCAGAAACGACTCGCTCACGGACGTAAGAACCGGTATTTTTGAATCCTCCATCACCCTCGCAGCCGGGGATCCGCCCTCTGTCCCATCTTCCACCGGAGATTGGGTCGCGAGGGAGTTGACGTAGCGAAGACTGCTATAACCGCCATATGTGAGTCGACGCAAGGCAGAGTTCATAACCACCACCAACCAACATGCCCTAGTCCAATCTAGTGTCGCCCGATTCCCCTCCGTATCCTCCGCAAACGCCGACTCCGGCACCAAACACTCCAACGGGCTCGTCTCCGCAATCGCCGCCAACATCATCGAGATCCAAGTATTACTCTTATTAACATCACTCTCCTCATCATCCGCATCCAGTTCCCAGATCTCCAACTCGAGCGTCAACGAATGAAGTCCAGTCAGGGGCGCCTCGAGTGCAGCAATAAGGACCATCTTATCCTTGACCGTCAAGTGGCGGATATGCTGGTTGTGCTTCTTCATTAAAGCCGTGAGTCGTTCCTGTCGTTCGATATAGTTGTCCGCCTCGCCGGGTTTGGAGATACCCGGGGGGTCGAGGACGTGACGCCAGAGCTTGCGGGTGATGTCAAAGTTGTGCCAGATACAAGGGGAGAAGACCGCGCTCCATTGACGGCAGACGGTGATGCAGGCGAGGAGGGAGTCGATGTCGAGGAGCAATCCGATGGCGGCGAGGATCTCTGGTACATCAGTCATGACTGATTGAGGCGACATATGTGAAGGAGTTAATGGTGGCTCCTTGAGGAGCGTAATGGGACTTGGTAGGGTTGGTGGGTTGGCGTGCGATAGGTTATGGTTGAGTAGCGTGGTTTGAAAGTAAAAGTGTGGGGGACAGACACAGAGTAAGGGCACACGTCAAGAGCCTGTCTGAGAGCGTGTGACTGCCATAATGCGTCAACTTGAAATCTCGAATGTGCAAAAGGATCCACGTACTCGTTCACTCCTTGCTTCCCTTGCTTCCCTTCAAGCACGGTGTATCTTCTCGTCGACATTAAAAAGAGCATTATTAAATAATGTATTTTGATCCGCAGTAGGACAAGTGCGTCGTTTATTGACACCCTCCCTTTCTTTGACATGTTCAGCTGGTCCATGTATCTACTTCAACAACCGTTGACCCGCCTTCATTCATAATCCGCCCCGTTGATAGCGGGCTTTGGCTGAGAGAAACAAATCACCTTGACGTGGTCCAAAACGGCCTGCCCTCCAAGACTACGCATCGAATTGAACTCGAGACCGTCGAATCGTTCCTGTCTCCCGGTAGTACGGTCGAGGTTAGAGATGAAGGAGATCTGCTGAAGTTGCGTCAGGCACCCTAGTCGGAGGTAGATTTTTCGTTGGATCGTATGAGACACTTCGTCGCTGCTCTAGTGCTTCGGCTTCATCCGGTGTCAGCTCATACCCGACCTGTCGTAGTCTCTCGCGGGCCTGCTCCAGTTCAACATCCTGCAGTTCCGCGACGGCGGTCGCTCCGTCAGTCGTAGCTCTGAACCAGGATGGGTCGAGCGCCCACAACTTTCCCAACACCTTCTCCTGTTCCCTCGTCGGTCTCGGGACTTCAAACACCTCAATATCCAGTTTTTCAAGTCCTACACAGGACCATTTGGACGCTCTCGATCAAATCCTCTGCCAACACAACATGTCTATTGCCCTCACAGGACGTACCAATAAACCATATCTCTCGAAGGTGAACCAAATCGCCCAGCCTTTTCACTTATTATTACCACAGAACATTGAGCCATTCATCTCCTCGCGCTTTGTATCCAGTCCGTGCGCTTCAAACGCATGCCACTCTAAAAAACAATAAAGAAATAATAATAAATATTATGCTCCATGGTCATGACTATTTCTATCCCTACATCACTTTCCTTCCTCTCGTTTGAGACAGAGGTACCAATACCTCCCCCCATATCGCGATCCCAGCTCTCTCGACCCCTTCTTCCTTAAACCCCATATCTGCTTCACCCACTCCACCTCTCTCTCTTCCATCAGTAAATCAATCCCGAAGAACTCAACCTCACTCAGACACCGCAACGCACCAAGCTCGGTCAAGCCCGACGCCAACGAGAACTCGAGTGTGTCCAGACGTGCGGGGGTGACTCGGGATAAGTACTCTGTCCGGCGTCCGAATGTGAGTCTCTTCAACTGGGTTAGTTCCCCGAGGCGCTGGTAAACTTTCCTCTGTACTGCGTACGAAACTAGTCGTCGATCCAGTGCCTCGGCCTCCGCGGATGTCAGCTCATCTCCGGATCTAAGCTGTTGCAATCGACGTCGGATCTGCTCAGCTGTATCAACATCCCTCTCTTGCTGCTGCTGCTGCTTGGCGACGATACCCCGATCGGACTTTGATAGAGCATCCAATACCTCCTCTTGCCCCTTCGTCAGTCTCGGGACACCAAAGATCTCAATATCCAACTCTTCCATCTCCTTACACCCCCACTCCCGACTCTCGACCAAGTCCTGCGCAAGAACAATATGTCCCCTTCCTCGCAAGCTCATTAAAGTCTCGGGGCTCTCAACCAAAATATCCACCATCACCCGAAACGACAATGATGAACCGCCCTCCTCTTCATAGTAGTCATCGGGTTTCTTGAGATCGAACCAGACGCGTCGTAGGCGTCTACAGTTCCGGACTATCTCCAACACAGCGGCGCCATCAAGTTCGTAGCCATGTATCTCGACTTTCACAAGATGCGGCATTTGGAAGAAGAGCGATTCTACATCCTGCGAGGAGCCGATGCCGATGTTGTGGCGGAGGACCAGTTCCTGGATCGGGTGTTGTTTGATATCATAATCGTTACCTCCTAGAGTATCGGTGATGAAGATTTCGCCTCGTCCTTGACTGGAACACTCTACTCTTGTCAACGCAGGGAAGGCCCACAAGGGCTGTCGAAACATATCCGCCGAGGGGAGAGTGATCGAACCGTTGAAGTGTGTGACACCCTGGAACCGGACCAGGGCATCAAGGAGGTCACCCATGTTTTGGGTGAACGGCGATAGTGGACTGATGGATCTACTTCCGACCATCCATGTTTGGCGTTTCTCGATCTTTGCCAGGTCGTATGGGTCTGGTTTGTATGGAGAGATGGTGATTGATTCGACGGAGGGCCACTCGAGAACCGCGTTCCGTGGGAAAGTGACGAGATCGATGGCGGTAGTGCTGTTGCTGTTGTCCTCCTCGCTGTTGTTGCCGTCACCATCTCCACCGCTATGGTGATTAAACCCATAATCGAGCCCCGGAACACCTTCGTAATTATCATCATCTTCCTCCTCAGGGACAGGCCTCGGCACGCCCTGGAACTCAATCTCTCTAACTCGCGGAAACGCCTTCACATACCCCCTCACAAGATTCTCAGACACCTCACCTTTCACCACCAACCTCCTCAAACTCCCATGCGGCGCCCTCTCCGCCTCCTCATTCAACATGCATACCGCGAACCACTCCAAACACACCCGCTCCGACTGCACAAAGGACTCCAGCTTCGGGAGGAACTTTCCCAAGACATTCAACAGACTCCCCTCAATCCCATGCCCCATCTCCAGATGCCTCAACTTCGGAATGTGTGTCGAAAACATCTCCTGGAGAAAGGACTCGGCTTCGTCGCTCATCCACATGGACTGTGGCGTGGTGTACAGGCCTTGGTTGGGCGGGTGGAAAGGTTTTTTGTCGTTCTCGAATTTGAGGTTCGACCATGATTTGTGGAAAGATAGGCGTACTAGTCCAGGGTTGCTGCGGATCAGGAACCAGGTCGCGCGTGTTCGTGCTGCGGGGCCCTGGTACAACTGGCGAATGACTGACCGAGGTATCATATCCTCCCGCGGACAAGTATCCAGCACCTTCACCGCCGATACCGACAGAGTCGACGTGGTATCCTGGAGACACTTCCTCTCCCACCAAAACTCCTCCTCTAATCTCCATCTCTTCAAACTCGCTCTCCGAAATCTCACCCTCCGAAACCTCACCCCCTCCAACCTCCTTAATCCAACTTCCACCGCCGCCAACAAGACCGTATTATCAGTAACAGCCAACTCCCTCACAAACTCTCCAAACTCTTTCAACAACCGCACCATCATTTCCAACCTGCGCCGTCGTTCTGGGATGCGTTTGCCGGGCCGGCTGAAGAGGCGGTTAAAGGGTGGGAGGGTAGCGTCGACGGTGTGCCAGAGGTAAGGTGTGAAGAGTTGTTTCCACTGGAGACAGCCTTTTGTGCATGTGAAGTAGGAGAGTGGGTCGAGATAGCGTGCGATCTCGTGCAGGATTTCTGGGATATGTGTTGCTGTTGCCATGTCGAGACTGGCCGAGAGAGGGAGGTAGAGAGAAAGAAAGTATGTGTATGGTGTGTGCGTGTGTGTGTGTGTGTGAGTGAGAGTGGATGAAGAGAGGAAAGGAGTTAGGAAGAGGGAGAAATAAATTGTGTGTTGATAATAATAGGAGAAATAAAAAGTACTATGAGAAAAAAGTGGACAGCGCCAGGTAAAACGAATTCTCAAGAAAAAAAAAGGTTGTGAGCAACATAAAACAACATTTTTGTCTCTCATGTACAGAATCATGGAGGCGTTCATTTTGAAAAGAAAGTTCAGTGCCGCAAGCAAGTTGGCGCCATCCGGCATCTTCTCGTCACAGACGACAAAGAAAAGGTTGCTCGTTCACTCAAGGGATACGAAGTTGTCTATATTGAAAATAACTAATATCAATCTAGGTAAGAAAAAAAAAGGATATGGGTAGAGATGTGTTGGGTAGGTGGGATGCAAAGCAGCGGCTGACGAAAAAGCACTGGATCGCCAGGAATAAGTAATCAATAAATAAATAGGTCCTGAAAAGTGGAAACCCCGCGTCCCTACTGGACGTCAACGACGACGCCACCAAAAATATACAAAAAAGTTGAGGTCCAGATGGCAATGAACGCGAGGACTATTAAACGCCGTTCCTGCGGATCAAGGACAAGAACTCCTCCCTGGTCTTGCCTTGGTCACGGAAGCATCCAAACATCGACGAGGTGATTGTCTGGCTTCCTGGCTTCTGCACTCCACGCATCACCATGCAAAAGTGGCTACATTCGTTTTCAATTGATCAAGAAGGAGATGTGTAAGTACCAGGGGTCGGAAATAATGACCCAACTCGATGAGGAAAGCAAAAACAGGGGGAAGCGTACCTGGCCTCCATGACGACGGCGACACCGAGGGGGTCGAGTAACTCCTGCATAGCCAAGGCAACCTGCTTGGTCAGACGCTCCTGAACCTGAAGACGACGACTGAACATCTCCGCCAAACGAGCAATCTTGCTCAGTCCAACCACCTTTCCGTTCTTTGGGATATAACCAATATGGATCTAGGTTGCATCAAACAGGAGTGCGAAAGGAGGTGAGCCGGTAGTTCTAAAATACACAGACGATCAAGTAGAGCGAGAAAAAGGTCCGGTATATGTTGTCCAGATTGCTGTACCTTGCCGGTGAAGGGGACCATGTGGTGCTCGCACAGGGAGAAAACGTCAATGTTCTTGACAATAACCATCTCGTCGTGATCTATTAAGGAATAGAATAAAGCAACCCACGGAGTCAACACCTCACTCACATTATCCATATAGTCTTTTCGCCATATCTTTACAACATCCATTGTAGGTGAATTGAGGTATCATGCAACATGCGTGCCAATAATCCATACCCTCCTGGAAGAGCGCCTTGTTCATAAGGTCTAAAAGTAACATTAGCAGACAAACAAACCATGTCAGTTTCCGATGAATTATGAACTAAAACGGACAAAACCAGAGATCCATGTCAAAACAGCATAACAACCACCCAACCAACTTACGGGTGACACTCTCCTCGTAACCCTTGGAGAAGAACATGAGGGCCTTGGCATAACGCTCGGGGGTCTTGAGGAGACCCTCGCGGTCGGGATCCTCGCCAATACACTCCAGAATCGTACGAACAGCTCCCGAGATCTTTTGAATGCGTGCTGCGCGCTGAGCCTCAGTATCCTCGCGACGTTCCCTTGCGCCCACACCTATTTACATTTCACAAAAGATGACAAATAAAGCAACCGGTAAGTAAAAAGATGCGAACGACAGGAGGTTATTTCCATGACCAATTGAAGAATGACGCCGAAGGGAAACATACTAGGGAAACTAAGGCCGTCAAAGTCAATGGGTGTGCTGGACCTGCCCTCGGGGGACTCTGAAGCGAGGTAGCTGCGTCCGGGGCTGTTAGAGTGTCCTGTGAGGGCGTGGCTAAGGAGTGCCTGTCTGGCGGTTGGTTGCAGCAACCTAATTGTTTGTGTTGGTTAACAAAAGGGCATATGCGAATGATTAACAAGTGGTATTTTGAGTCACTCTTGTTGGGATCCGTGGGAAACATTTTTCTTTGTTGTTTATTGTTGTGGGTCAAAGGTGGCTGATAGGTGGATCCTGATGTAGTTCATCCGGCATTCAATAGGGTCCATTCCTACTCTTGACTCGTAGTTGCATTCAAGGTTGAAGAACTAATTCATTGAGGGATCAACCTGATTTCAGTCCTGGTCCCGATTCAAGTTATGTTACTTTTTCTGATCTGCCTGCTCAGTGGTTCTTGCCACCTTGTGGAGTCGAGTGTGTTGAGAAGTGTTGGCTTACTGGACGTTGTCCGAGGTTGCGGTTGGGCTTGAAGGGATGTTGCTCATGGTATATATGTGTATGGGTGTTGTTAGGAGTGAAGTGTGAGAAAAAGAAGGAAGAACAGAAAAGAAAAGGAAGTAGGAGTTGTCAAGTATCGGAGAAAATGGGATCCAATCAGTCAAGAGTCAAAGGAGAAAAGAGTGTGTGGTAGCAATGGGTGGCGTTCGATGAAAAATGAAAAGTGTAGAGAGCCAATCAGGAGAGGGGAGGTGATTAGTCCTCTCAGCAAAAGGGTGTTTCATTCGTTCATTACTGATCAAATATCAAGGGGGAAGAGAATTGCTGTCCTGGCGCCTGCCCTGAAAACAACCCATCCAAAGGGGCTAGTCCTATCATCCCATAAGGAGCCGTACCCTCCCAGTGAGAGAGCCTTGACTACGCAGAAACGGCTCAAATGTCTTCCGTCTTCCGTACATTCAAGACACCGTCCCCTCCTTCTCTCCATCTTTTATTTCCTTCTCTCTTTCTTTCTCTTTATCCTTGCACTCACCAACCTACCTTCCTTTCGGCGTCTTCTTAACTCTCTGGGTATGCCTTTTCTAGCGCCTACCAAACGTCCGTTTTCAACAACCATCCGGTCTCATCTGCCGTTTGCCATCAGCTTTTCTTTCAGCATTTACCTCTGTTACCATTGCAAAAGCAACTGCCATGTTGTCTCTTCGTTCAACTCTTACGAGCTGCAATAATAAATGAGGAGGGTTGTTCAATTGTTGAACATACCTTGGTCAAAAAAAAATGCGCTTGTTTTTTCCCCTTTTGTTTTCAAGAATCAAGGATCAAGATGACTACGAGTCTGTCAAGGTACTATTGTGCTCCACCCTTGAAACGATCGCTGCACTGAAGGGGGAGTCAGATCCCATGAGAAATATCCGGGCCCAGTGGGAAAGCTTTACGTACCAACACGAGTACGGACACCAAGGAGGAACAGACCGCTCAAATGCTGTTGTTTTTTCGCTGGTAGATATTCCAAGGATTCGCTCTTTTCCTTTTTTTCCTTCTTCTCCTTTCCTTTATCCTTGACTTCCACATCCTCAACAATAACCCGTACCCATCACTTCCACCTCCGCCTTCCCAGCCGGAACACTTCTTCTCCACTCCACATTCTGCCAGTCATGAAGATCCTCTCTATTACCGCTGCTGTCCTAGTCTGATTGAATAAACAACGAGCAGCCCACATATTCCGGGTCTGTCCAAAGTCAATAGTTTCAAGCACACATTAGAAAAATCGAGAAATGTATCTGCTTTATGTTTTTTGCGTGCCCCTGGGGCACTCCTTTCCTTTTCTTGAAAAAAAGGCATTAAGGATCAATTCAAGGGTGGTCAGACTCAGTCGTTTTGTCAGCGTTACTTGAACTAATTTCAATTACCCAACCTGCGCAGCATTGGATCCCTTGTCGGCTCTCGTTTTAAAACAGACCTTTTTTTTTTACACACCATGACGCGTAAACATGAAAAAGTAAGGGTCGCCATAGTGTTCCTACGCGAACATTTTCATATCCTCCTTGAGTTCCAATGGTTCTATCCTCGTGTTGGTCGAAAGGGAACGAATACGAACAAGAAAGAATTTATCTGACCGCGTCAAGTGTACACTGAGCATAGCAGGCAGGGCTAAAATAACGATAAACATATGAATGCAGGGGGCATGATAGATGAATGCGATACGCGCTATCTTTTCTTTCTTTAGTTCTTGTCGATCCTAATATCTTTCCTGTACGCTCACCAGAGAGTGTCTGCCTCTTTTCCTGTCCGTGAGGGCACAAGAAGGGAGTGTGAGATAAAGGGGCAAGAAGCACCAGCAGCAATGCCCGAACCACGTTTTTTAAGTCAGTGTGTGGTGTTCTGTTAGGGAAGGTTAAAGTAATGTAGTACTGTGCTCGCCAATGTCGCCACACATGTGCTAAATGGTACGGGCTACATGTCCCCACTCTTTTCATTCTTAATACCTTGTGCGTGCAAAGAAGCAGAATGACAGCATAGCCATGAGGCTATCGTCCGTGCCAACCACACTAGAAATCTGACCCATTTTTTTTTGAGTTAGTACTCCCACTGGACTCCTGCGCATCCATATGTCAGGGCAAGGGCAAGGGCAACAAGCACATATGGAATATGAAAGAACGAAAAGAAGGTTAGATGAACTGAAGGGGAAACACAAGAATGACAGGACAAGACGAGAGGAGAGAGAGAGATAACGAAAGTGCGTGCGTGCGTTGTGCGTCAACGTGTATACAAGGAAAAGGAAGAACCCATGGAAAGGGACATGGGTATGGACATTATGAGAATCCTTACTGACATATGAAAATTGCAGTGCCAATAGGACCGTGACTCTCGCCCACTCACCCTGCGGTCCATCCAATTCATGGTTCATTGGCATGCCTCTCTGCTATCGGAAGGGATGGGTGACCCTTTGGCTTTGGCTGTATGTCAAAGGAGGGTCCCCCTTTTTTTTCCCTTCCCAGTCCTTCATCCCTCCGCCTTGTCCCTCTGTCCCTTGATTTCTGTTCGTCTTCTTCCCGTCGCGTAGGAAAAAATAAATTTTCTTCCCGCGAACGAAACCGCGATCTCCCAAATGACCAGACCTTACGAGAAGGGAAGAGATGTTGACTGGCGCTGCTGGAAGCAAAACAAAAATAGTGCAATGCTCAAATCAGAGAGAGACAACAAGGTCGAAGAAAGGGGAGCGAAGGGCCAAGGGTGTATATGTGTGTGTCTACACTCACTGACCTTTTTTTGTCTCTCGGAGCAATAGTCTTTCTTCCATCCCTCCTTCTAACCCCTCATTGACTTTGTTGCATCTCACACACACTGTGATTCTGTTACCTCTATTTCGACCAGACTCGTCCCTCTTTTCTTTCTTCATTAGCTCCAATACCTTGCTTTGTTTCTATGGAGCATGAACCATCCCTGCATGGCTGTCACAAGAATAAAGGGCGATGGGCACGGTGGAAGCAGAAAGTGAGAGAGGACAGAAAGAAAGCAGAGAAAGAACCCTTGCTGCTAAGCAGTCGCATTTGTTATTTTCATTCTCCTTCTTCACATCACTCCCCTGCCTAGCCCATGCAGCCAAAGCAAAACATGGAGAAAAATATGCCGTTTCGAAGGCAAAAAGGACAAAAATAATAATCAGGGAATGGTGCGACTTCGATCGCTAATTTGGCATTAGCTCGTTGGCTGGATGCATGGTGACAATGTTGATTTGTTGTTTGGTTGGGCGAGGTGAGGCTTTCGCGCATCTTTGTTGATGCCAGGCATTACAAACAAAACAAAAAAAAATATAAGAAAGGTGGAGGTGTATGTGGGCAGGACGGCGAATGCGACGAAGATGCGAGCTGAACGTCGAGTACGTAACAGCATACATTACATGGCATTTGAATGCAAAGAAGATCGCCTCCTAAAAGTAAACTTTTCCTGACAACGAGAATGTTGCTTACCGAAGCAAAACTGAATGTGAAAAAAAAGACGGCGAGGTCGATACACACAAAAAACGCAATGCACAAACAAAAAATACGAGTAGATGATCGGTTTTGAAGAGGGATGCACGGACAGGTACTTGCGATAATGTAGGCGCGTTGTTTACTTGCGCACTTCAGAATAGAAGTACACAAATAAAAGTCAATTGAGTACTTTGATGGATGTCTCCTGACTGATCGGCCTTCTTAGAAGGCAACTAAACCAAAGCAAAGGAAAAAGATGAACAACGTAGAACGTAGGATAGGGTGATGCATGGTCCAAGAGTTGAGCTGTGTTTCGACTTTTGTTCTTTCTCTCACTTTTTCGCGCAACTTTTTTTTTTTGGCCTGTCCCCTGTGTCCCTTAGCCAACTCTATTTTGAAACACCCTGGGGGAGAGAGTCCTTGATCTGACCATGTCCGCTAGACCTGCGCCTCCTTTCTTTGTGATTTTTTCTCTCTGCTTTGACTCAATGCACGGGGATGACAGGAGACGCGCAGGCGCGTTGACCATGGTTCTTTTTACAATGATACAAAAACACAAGAAAAGTGGCCTGTTCTCCCCAACAGAACCCGGTCCTCATGACCCATCGTCATAGATAACACGTCCTACCCCTCTCTTTTTACTTTCTTCTAATTTTCTCATCTCTCTCTCTTTCATGTTTTCTTTTTCACTTGAAAAAAAAAGAGAACTGTGAGAGATGATAACGACAGACACACAGACTAGCGTGTGTTCATGAAACCCGTTGGGAGGGGACAGAGTGTTTCTTGATTTCTTCTATCCGACTCCTTCTGACAGCACCCTTCCTGGGGAGTCGCGAGCACATGCCAAATACACAAAGAGAGATGGTCGGAGCGTTCGTCTGGGCGTGAAAGATACGGAAATTAACACAAGGAAACGAGAGACTTGGAGCAGGAGAGGCATGATGTTACAGTGCTTCCCATGGTCACTACAGCCGTGAACAGGAGGGCGTACGAGTCATCGTCATGAGTCCCATAGAACTTCCTTGCCACGCCTCTCTCTTTTCTTTCCTTGTCCTGAACACAAGGATATGTACCCTTGGTGGGCCGAGAAAGAATGAACCTCTAGGGAAAATGAAAAGGGCAGCAATTGAACAAGAGAAACAAAGAGAGCACGGTTATGAAGAATGTGAAAAATGAAAGAAAGTATGTGAGAGCACTTTGTGTTATTTCAGGAGAAAGTGATCGAAATGTCCGGTATGGCTCTCTCGCTTACTCTTTCTTATTCAACGTCAATGAAAGTAAGTTGTCGTATTAGCAAGAGCAACGGCCAACTGTCGCTGAAAGGGATAGAGAGAGGAGAGACAGAGAAAAAGGAGTGAGAAGGGAAGACTCTTGTTCCACCGAGGAAGAAATAAAAAATAAAATACGAGAGCGAGGGTCTGGCTGGCAGGTGCTCTCATCCACATCATCATCATCATCATCCATACCTTCCCCTCAATCGCTTTCCTTTTACTCCCTCTCTCCTGTCTTGATTTGTCCTCCCTTGTCTTGTCCCCCCATCGAGTCCCCCATCCGCCCAAGTCCACATGCTCTCTTGCGAGCCTTACATCATCCGTCACCTTCTCACTTCTCTCCTTACTTGTGTCCAGTAGGGCGGAATTCATGCTGTCGATCGATTGACAGGGCATTGGGTGGAGGAAGAAAGTAACAAAGGGTGGAGACAGCGGAATTGTTAGTGCTGCATGAGCGCCTCACCGCTGTCTATTTCGCAATGGATACTTCATTTTTTTCTCATGCCCCAGTTCTCTTTTGTTCCCTTGTTATCAATGATGTGGAAAGAATGAAGAGAAAGAGATGGAAGGAAAAAGAAAGCAGAAGATCTCGATAATAGGGAGATGGTAGTACCACCATGGTTGGTCAATGGGATCGGAGTAAGAGTGCATGTATGTGAATGTTGTCTTGCCCATGGGCGTCAGCAATTGGATAAGAGACCATTGCCCATGCACACATAGACATACTTGTTTTGGCTAAGTTTATGTTGTGTGTCTGTGTATATCTATGGCGATCAACAATCGATGATGGCCCACATCTCTCCTATGTATGTGTGTGTGTGCATTGCCCAACAACTACAAGCCAACGACATCGAGTCACCAACGACTAAGCAATGTCCAAACAAGAAGGAAAACACAAAGCAGCCATTCAAGATATGCGTCTAGGAGTACAAAAGTGCGACAACAACAAAGGAGGGAGGAAAGAAAGAAGGAAAGAAGGAAGGTAACGGAGGGACATGGGCCAGGTCATGCATACATACAAGAACAATGGCAACGACCTTTTTTTTGAAGTAGTGTTTTGAATCTCCCCCTCTTTTTACAGCTTGAGTTGTTGGATGGTTATTGTACTCATTTATTTTTTTCCTTGCGTTTTTGTCCCTCAGCAGCACATGCCGACTGTTGTTTGTTGACAGTCTGATCGCCTAGCGGTGGAGGTATTTTAAAAAATAAATTGAGTCGCGGGACAAGAAGAGGAGAGGAAGAGCCAAGACCAAGAGGGTCTGATGTCTCCCAGTCAGCACCACAACAAACACAAACACACACTATCGGACGAGGGAGTGAGAAAGAGAATAGTGAACAAACGAAGTGGACAAAAGCAAAGAGGCCGATGGCATATGATTTGCATGAAGCAGTAATAAGGATATTTCAATTGAATGTGCGACTCGATTGAGTAACAACAACAACCATATCTTCCCTCCATCCTCCAATTGAGGGTGTATATACTATATACATCATCAACAGAGGAGAATGTCAACAAACAACCACCACCAACACAACCCAGCCTCAAGACCCACCTCGTCCTAGTCCTTTGTCCTTCTTAAGCAACAACAATCGCCCTTTTTTTCTCTTTTTCTCTCTCTCTTTCTTCTTCTCTTCTCCTTTCCGTTCCTTCATCACACCCTTTTCTTTGCATCTTTTTTTTTCTTTCTTCCCTTGCATCCCCTCACTCTTCACCCACTCACTCGCTCACTTTCTCCCTTTCTGCATACTCAACACTCCAGCTCTCATCACCCTCGCGAATCTCAACAACTAGAACAACCATATATAACCCACTCTTGCCACCCTTCTCTCTCTCTTCTCTCATCACACCCCTCATCAACAACACCTTCTTTCTCTTGCATACAGGACAACAACCCCCTTTCTTCCCCTCTCTTGTTTCTCTCGCTTTCTCTCTTTCTCTGACTCTTGTCACTGTTCTCTATCTCCTTGGCCCAGGTTACCATCCTTTGGTGCAATTGAAATACATACAGACACACATCCTCCTTTTTTTTATCTTCTTCTTCCTGCAACCCTTCCCTTGTCTCTCCTTCACTCACTCGTGCTCGTGCTTGTCCTCTTTCTTTTCCGACATACACAGTCTTATCTCTCTCTCTCTCTCTCATTCATTCCCTTGCATACTCTTTTAATCCGTCTCACCTCTTTCTCTTTCCTTCCTTCTTTCTCTCTCTCTTCTTCATTTCCTGACACTTTAACACCTTCACCTTCATACTTCAACCATATACCCCACCCTCCCTCCCCACTCTCCACAAAAACAAACAACCAGAAACACAAAATGTCTTCATACAAGCGCCAATTCCTCATTCAATCATACCAGCAACAACAATTGCAACAACAGCAGGCACAGGAAGATACGCCATGGTTGAGATACCCCGACCCTCAAAGGTCCTCCAACGGCCACAGCCGGTCTTCATTCTTGCCCAACGCCCCTCACAACAAGCTTACCCCAAGCAACAATAACACACACGCGTCTCGATCCGAAACCCTTCCAGCCAACAGGCTGCACCACAAGCGGTCGTCTTCCAAACTCCTCCTGGGCACCTCCCAGTCCAGCAGCCACCATACCCACAGCAATAACAGCTCCAATGCTTCGCTGCCCATGTCTCTGGCTAGTAACTCCAGTAGCGACTCTCTTGCCCACAACAACAACAACCACCATTTATCTCACAGCCATCAAAATCATCATCACCAACAACAGCAACAACAACCTAGCCCCTTCACACCTACATCCAACAGCAACAAGCCAAGGTCACTCTCCGAGGAGCTGTCTTTTGCCACGCATGGCGGCAACAGCAATAATAGCAGCAGCAGTGCCGATGACAGCATCCACCGCAGCAGCAACACAAACGGCAGACACCCATACCCTTCGCCAATCACACCCTCTGATCTCCTATCCATACCCGACCTCTCTGCTTCGCCTTCGTCAGCATCGTCATCGTCAGCATCCACCGCCTCCTCCACCACATCCTTGGCATCCCCGTTCCCTCTCCAGCGAGCTCGCGTCGACTCGGGTGCAGGACAAAAGCTGCGTCCGTCCCCTCTCTCGATCAACACCAACTTGAGCAACCCTACCCTTGATGCCTCCGCCTTTCTTCAACAAAAACAACATCAGAGCCCGTCCTTGGTCTCGCGTGGTTCCACGGTCGTTGCGGACGGAGGAGGTCTTGGCTCGCCATGTGCTAATTTGAACATGTCGACCTCCTCTGGGCTCGGAACACCGCCTCTGCCAAGGCTGACCCGCAGCTCCACCCATTCTTCCTCTTCATCGTCCTCATCCTCTGTCTCCAGCTGCTCCAACACGTCCTCTCCCAGTTCATCCACCGCCCCTTGTTCCGCCCTCTGTCACCACCACTCTTCTTCCACATCCAAGGGCCACGGCCACGGCCACAGCCATCATCATCACCACAGTGGCCAACGCCGGCACTCGCACCGCTCCTCTTGCCATCTTCACAAGCATCAACCCCGTGAACACCACCCATCTTGCCACCTCCATGGGTCTCCTTCCCTACTCCATCGCCTCGATTCTAAATTGGACAGGGCACCCCCCAAAGGGGTGCTCCGATTTGAGGACACACCTACAACACCTGGTCGTGAGGGAATCGACGAAGATATGAACGTCTCATCGTCTTCCTTGATCGATGAAGCAATGGTAGCGTCTCTTCCCGAACCGACCCTTCTCCACCTGGACGAGATGCCCATGGCGATCGAGAAGGCTCCGGCATCGACGGCTGTGACGATTGTGGGAAGCACTCCGACCTACGGCATGGGTGCATATAAGGCCCAACGGGATCAAGAAGAAATGGCGGCTGAGAGTGCCCTTGGTCTGTACTCTGCCGCTGAGCCACCCAAGAAGCGCCAGCGATCGGCAGCCGCGTATCTCTTTGGTGCTGCCTTCGAGACGGTCATCTTTACCAGTGCCGTTGCTCTTTCTGCCTACCAGCTCCTCACTGGCAAGGGTCGTCTGCAAGGGATCCAAGACGCGTCTGTCGATGCTAATGGCGAGACCGCGCCCTCTGCTGAAGGAACCGATGCCTTCTCGGGTGCTAATCATTCCCTCATGGTAAGCTAGTCGCTTCTTTTTGCTATTATTGTCGTTTGTCTAAGGGAGGATAAAAACCACATTCTCGTTGTCGATGGCACCATCCCATCGCACTCATCCATCGGTATCTCCAACAATGCAAACTGACTTACCACTTTCTCTTTCTTCCCCCTTTGTATCGCCCCTCTATCTTTCTCTCTTCCCGTCGTCCCACCTATTCTTCTCATCCTCCCATCCCATCCACTCAATCATTCCCTTGCATAAATCAAATCTCCAGCCTATCGAATCAGCACCTGTCAACATTCCAACACGCACGCCCCGACACCCGTCTTCCTCCCCCCATGCCCATCTACTCGGCAAATCCCTCCACCACCACCATCACCAAGGCCGCCACCTCCACCACTCTTCCAACCACAAATCGCGCCACCCCAAATCCGGGTCCAAGAAACACGGATTGTCGGCCTCCCTCCCTCACTCGAACCCTTACGAACCCGATCATCCGTTTTATGAACGCGCCATGATCCCACCCAAGAGGCCCAACACGGGAACTGAGGATAACGATGAGCAGTTCTTGAGGATGGAGGCTCAATTGAGCACGCTGATTGCGGAAGGCAAACGGGCCTTGAGCAGTCGTATTCAGGATCATCAATAGGATGGACTTGTAAGCATTGATAAGACAAAGATAAAAACAAAAAAACAGCATAAAACAGCATTATAATAAACGAAATATCTTAATCGATCGATTTATTACGAGCTTTTGTTTCAAGAGGGAGAAATGAGTGCAGATTTGCGAAAAGAATCACCAATCATATCCTTCTCGTAGCCGAAACGCGTGTTTACGTCCTTTGCGAGGTCTGCACAGAAGCAGCAGATACACAAAGAAAGACGTTAGGAAAGAAGCAGTAAGAAAGAGAGAGAGAGGAGGAGGAGGGAGGGGGGGAAAGCGTAGACGTAAAGCAAACACGCAAGATGACATACATAAAAGGATACAAGAGTACGACATGGTCTATGTAGGCCGAGCGGACTGTCTGTGCAGCCATTTGCAGCCCACCATCCTTCTTTTCTCACAGACCGACGGAGACAGCGATGGATTGTTGGGTGTTTCACTTATCGATGACGATTGACACGTTTTGTTGTTGTTGTTGTTATTGTTGTTTTGCGCATGGGTCTCAATGGTCGTGGGTAATGAGATACCGATATGAGTTAAGTGTGTGGGTGTGTGGGTGCGTGTGGATGAATGTATGTGCGCCCAAAACTCAAAAAGTTCACCCCCACGAGCTTTTGAGCACTTTTTTTCATTACTTGCAGGGACGGACAAGGAGGAAGGGAGAAACAGAGAGCTGTCATCAAAAAAAGGGCTTACTCCGCTCATTGACAAGACCGTGTGGCAAAAGACGCGTTGCATGTGCTTTTTGTGTACCTGCTGAAAGCTACTTCATGTTTCTCTTTGCTCTTTTTTTTTTTTTTTTTTTTTTTTTTGGCTCTTAATCTCGCGTTGGGACGGGCTGGTGGGCTAGTGGGCTAGTGGATAGAAAATGGGTTAGAAGGTTTGAATGGGTGGGTGGGTGAGCTTGTTTGGCCGCGAATTGTTTATTTTATTAGATAGCTCATTGTGCTTAGTCACCTTTGAGCCCTTTGCACCCGACTCGATTTTTTTTCTTTCATACACAAGGTCGAAGGATGCATGTAAAGCTGTAAACAAACAAAGAGAAGACAAGGCACGCGGCTTCGGGGATGAACAGGAACAAGGCAGGTGTACGATGATGATGATTATCGAGGAAAAAGGAAAGTCGATGTGGGAGTTAAGCAAAAGGGACGCGAACGTAAACAATGACACAAACTTAAAAACACCGCAGGCGATAGAAAAGGCATGATGGACGAAGGGAGAAGGCGATGGCGGAGGAAGCGGAGAAAAGAAGGATGTGATGGCACTGGCCACAGGAGCCGAACAAGCAAAAAAAGGTCAACAATAGCGGTCGCAAAGAATGGCAAGGTAGACAAGGGGAAGGAAAACGGGGGGTTGGAAGGGAAGGGAGGAAGGGAGGAAAGAGAGTCCAAGCCAAAAACAGCGCAATCCAAAAGACAAACGCGGAAAAAAAGATCGGATTTTGGTCATTTCAGCAAAACAATACGAGAAAGAAAAAAAGGATAATACAACAAACCCCTTGTCCTTATTTTACTTTTTTCCCTCTCCTCTCACTCAAACACTAGGCTCGGCCCAACAACAATCGAGCATGTATTTATCTCGGTCATCGCATGGGTCAACAACAATCAACAAACAGGGCACTTCCATTTCGACTGCGACATCTGACGAAGATTGCAGTGTCAAGCCCAATCAACAAAGATAAAACAAACACAGACGACGGCGCAAGAGGTGACCAAAACAAAGGCAAATGCGAGGGACGAGGCGTGGCGTCTTTTCATTTTCGGTCCAATGCCAAATGACCATCCTTCCCGTCTGTTCATTCCTCTGCGCCGCTTTGATTGTGTCGAATGGACTAGATTTTTTGCGCACAGTCGCTCCCGCTTCATCCCTTGTTAGGGCTTGGCCGACTTTTTTTTTTTTTTTAGTTTTGGCGGCAATCCAGCGGATGAATGTGATAATGCGCAATGCCACCATTGCCATCAATGACACTAACTGCGGCGAACTGCGCGCAAGCCCTTCTTCAGAAGAATTTGAATGAAATAATAGACGAGGGGGATAAATGGCGAGAAGTATGGTTTGTGTGCTTTGTGGCTTTCTTTCTTTGGATGCGTTCTCTTCTCTTTTGAGGTACGGTGCATCTTTGCTTGTACACAAAAAAACAAAAGAAACAGAAAACAAACCAGGCGAAAGGGGATGAGCTTCGGTCGATGTGGTCTGTTCTCATTCCAAACCTTTACCACGATATCGCAGTCGTTTCTCAACGTGCAGTGGATTTTGTCTTGTTCGTCCTGTGACCATCCTCTTCCACATCGATTGTATTTTTTTTTTCCCTATACTTTGGAATGCTTCTTTGATAACAATACACACACACACTTTGTATTGTTTGTCTGTTGATTGGTGGAGGAAGAGGTCCTGTGTGGACTTTTTTTTATCCCCTGTCTACCTGTCCTTGTTGTGGGCTATCGTCATCATTCTCATATATTGCCCTTTTGTCTCCAATTAACATTGGCAAAAAAGAACACAGGCGAGAATTCTTGCCGTCGGTATATCCATCTACCCTTTCTACGTTCTTGATAGCCACAAACGACGGGCTCCGACAGGAAGAAGCAAACAGCAGGAAGGGGGACGATAATCGACAACTTTTGATCTTGTGTTTCTTTATTGTGGTACACGAAAAGAACGAGGACGAATGACGTGATGGATTGTGCTTACTGCGATGCCTGAAAAAAAAATATGTTCTCGCGCGATTGTACGTCTCGTGCAATGGCTTCCTGGTGCATATTGGTTCATATTCACTGCGGTGCGGATTTGAAGGGAGCTTTTCATTGTAGGTTTAGAGGCTACGTCTATCGTTCCTCGCACCTCTTCTCTGCAACGATATCATTACACCATCGAGCTCCAAGCAAGCCTTTTGTTATAATACCGACAGCTTTTTTTTTTTGCTTCTTATTACCTCAAAGGATAAAGTGCTCGGACTAACCATGCGCGTAGTTCTACCCGAATGGTTACACTCGCAGATGGAACTTATCGATAGTTCGCCTTCCTCCGAACTTCTCTGCAACCCTTTTTCATTACCTCCCGTTTGAAATGAAGTCCTAAAGGATTGGAATCGATGTACCCTCCATCCACTAATTTCCCCATTCCACAACGCGACGATAACGTCATCATTAGGTCATATCAATTTGCCCAAGGATAAGTCTCTGTCTGATAGGCGATATTGGTGTCAAAACGTTTTAGTTTGATTATGTGTTAACTGCACCGAGGATCACGCATTCATGAGATGACCGCGCTCATTATATCATCCACCCACTACTCGACGATGCAGAAAGGCGTTTCAGGAGCCGTTTGAAGATTATGCATAACTTCTGGGATTGGTCTGTGCGGGTCGATGGGCCATTATGTTGTCTTGTGTTTGATAATCATAACTGTAACTACGATGCGAAAGAGCTGTCTCTTTTGATATAAACCCCTTTCTAGAGTCAAAAGTAATAAAATGAAGCGATAGCTGCATAATTTGGATGTTCTCTTTTCGTTGCAGATCACGACTCCAACTTCATGGATACGCAAAGGTAAATGTCACTCGTGTTTTTCTTTTTCACAAGGCGGCTGCTCACAGAGGATGATTTTCCCATGTGTAGCAGTCGGCCTACCAAGATGACAGAACCACTTATCACTGATCGATCCTCAGGATAATTCTCACTACTTTTGCGTTCCAAGAAAAGATATCCTTCCTGGCTTTATATAACCAAGAAAAAACAACTATCTCTCTAAGGTTCAGAGGGTAAGAAATGAGGTGGTAGGATGAACGTTGCAAAGAGTAACATAGCACCATACCGACCAGGTTTCGTCTGCCTCGCCAGCCCTTTCGTCAGATTTTTCAGGAACGCCTCCACAGTTTACGACTCGAACAACAAGATTGACATACATTTGAGGTTTTATTCCTTTGATCAAGTCACATAAAAAAGAAACGTTGATTTTGCGTACTGGATCAGTCTCTCGCGATGCACGTTCCCTTTCACTCAAAAAAAAGTACTGCAATGTGTGGTTTTTTCCATCTGTGTCAAGGATATGTGGCGCTTGACTTGAGGCATTTTGTTGTTCGTTGTGTACATACAACCTCACGCGATATTGCCGTGCTATGTTAGTCTGCTTTAAGAATATTTTATATGCGAGGCGGTTTTTTTCATTTTTGGCTATTCATGTAACGTGGGTGGCATGGTGCTTTTGTTTCTTGAACCTTTGATGCCATGCTCCTTTGGTAAACTCTTTCCTTTCGATGGGAAGCCAACGATCGCCGATGGTGAGTGTTATGGTATGTGGCAATCATATCCTTAGTAAGAATTGCTCTTTGACAAACCAAAGAAAAAAAATGCTAATTGATGGTTCCATTCGAGGGATGTGCCCTCTTTCTTTTTGTTTTGTGCTCTTGTCAAAGGCGATGTCACAGGGCGAGTGATCTGACCTTTTTTGTTACAACTGCTAAAATGACACATGAATATGATAGGCGAGAATCCCACTCTCTTTCAGTGAAGTTCTTATCCGCCCCCTTGTTGATAACATCGAAAGACCTCAAATGAGAAGATACAACTTAGAGTTCCTTTCTGCCTTTCTTGGAGTTATGTGTTGACTACAACTAGGATTTGCGGTTGACCTGCACTTTGAATCCGATATGGTTGAGCACGCGGTTCCTATTGCGTTTTCTTTCTTTGATACTCATAACTACAACGTCAATAGGTCGCCTCTTTTTGCCTTTCTATTGCGTTTCTTTCTTTGATACTCATAATCATAATGTCGCTATATCGTTTTTTCTCCGGCTTCAAGATGTCCGAAAAAAAAGTTGACAGGGATAACTACTGGGCGTGGCCCTTTTTTATTTTCTGATAATCCATGACACCAAGTTGAAGGATATGCACCTCGTACGACCAGATACGTTTCTCGCATCGAGAATTTTACCGGGGATGAGAGCTCCTCCTTTGACGCCGCAGTTTCGGTTGCCACGATGCAGA